CTAATGGCGCATTTAACCCGACGTATACTGAATCACTATTTGTCGCCCTAAAATGCACCAAATTGACTATCTTACGCTCTGACCCCAATCTCTAACCAAAACCCTAAACAAAAAATTCATTTTTCATCAGCACACAACACATTTCCACAATCGAAACTTGAAATGTATGCATCTAGGTTCACAAAAATCTAGCCTCTTAAGCACAATAGAGCTCGGCTCTTAATTCTAGGGCTGGCAATTTGGACCCGGACCGGATGAAAAACCGGAAACGAACCGTAAAACCTGGACTGTTTTAAGACCGAGACAAGATGTAAAACAATTCAATCCCGTCTTTGGTCTCAAAATTAGCAAAAAACCCGGACCAATCCAGTCCGGGTCAAAACCGTGTAAAAATCGGAAGACTGGATGATTAAAAACAGACCAGACCAGAGGCAGTTCGGACCCAAAGGCAAAGTCCATTAGGGGTCAAACAAGCCCACTCCCCGGCCCCCGCGGCCTGCGCCTGCGCCTAAGGGCCCAAACTTTTTATCTGTATTGTTAGTCTGTGTAGGGTTGGAGAAGGGTTGCGCCTCTCGTCCTCTTCCTCTGCATTCCATCATCGCAAAGACGCAGCCGCTAGCCAATCTCCATTTTCTTCTTCCATCCAGCCCGGCGCCGCCCGCAGCCCGCCCCCATTGCCCGCCGCCTGCCTCTGCTCTGACAACCTCCTCTTTGACCCAGCGACGAGCGACGACGACATCTTTGACCCAGCGACGACGTGACGCCGGCTCAGCTCTCGCGCTCCCACCCAACGATCTAGACGACCACTCCAGCATCTCGTCTAGTCGTCCAGAGTCAGCACTCCACAGCTCATCTCCCTCTGTCATAACCTCGTCGCCCGCCGTCCAATCTCATCGTCGTCCGTCGACTATAGGGGAACAGCTGCCGAACTCAGAAAAATGGAAGGGAGCAGCAGCTGGGTAAGTAGTTTTAGTTTATTAATGAGTAGTTTTAGTTTATTAGTGATGAATTGAATGGTGGAATGTGATATACCAGGACTGGATGAGTTTATTATCGATTAGTTTTTGTTTGTTCTTCAATGTATCGAATTGTTTTGTGCAGGGTACTAAGAAGCGAATACCGACATCAAGAGGAGATGATAATTTGCCTCCTCTTCCTAGTAAGAAGCGACCACAGCCACAAGCTTCAAAGGAAGCTGTTGAAAGTGGGAATAATAGTGGAAATGTTAATGTTCAAGCCGCTGCCACTCAAGAACAAGAATGGCCAGCAACTACCAACACCACAACAACACTTGAAATGGAGAAGACCAATAGGGAGTATGCGTTAAGGCCACCTGTATGGCAGCATTATGATTGTTACAAAGATGCTAAAGGCAAGAAGAAGGCAAGGTGTCATTATTGTGGAAAGTCACTAGCTGGGGATCCCTCGGGAAATGGCACAAGTTCTTTGGGTAGGCATACTTAAAGGTGCTTAAAGAAACAAAAAGAAAGGGGGAAGCAGTTGAATCTAGAACTCAATCCAACTTCTGTTGAAGGGCAAGGAGTTTTGGGGACTTGGAAATTTGATCAAGCATTTATCAGAGTTGGGTTAGTTGAAATGATAACTCTGGATGAAATGCCTTTTAGGAGCGTGGAGAAAGAAGGGTTTAAGCGCTTCATGGCCCGTGCTTGTCCGATGTTTAATATTCTAAGCAGAAGAAGTATTAGAGAAGATTGTTTTAGATTGTTTCTTGAGCAGAAGGGCAAGTTGAGAGATTACTTCAAGATCAAGTGTGGAGGAAGGGTGTCCATAACTACCGATAGTTGGACTTCTTGTCAAAATTTCAACTATATGTGCATCACTGCACATTTTGTTGGGAAGGATTGGAAGCTGTACAAGAAGGTGATTAGTTTTTGCTAGATTACAAGTCATAAGGGGATTGATCTAGGTGATGCAATAGCCGATTGTTTGGAACATTGGGGTTTGCAAAATATTTTCACAGTCACAGTTGACAATGCAAGTGCAAATGACACGACACTTCTTCATTTGAGAGATCGACTTGAAGAATGGGGTACTAATATAGTTGGTGGAAAGTACCTTCATATGCGGTGTATTGCTCATATAGTGAATTTGATTGTGAGCGATGGTTTAGAAGAGATGGGCACGTCAATAAGGAGGGTGAGAGAGAATGTGAGATGGGTTAGATCATCACCATATAGATTGGCAAAGTTCAAGGAGTGTGTGGAATTTCACAACATTGAATCTAAGAAGATTTGAGTCTAGATGTGCCTACGAGGTGGAATTCCACCTACTAAATGCTTGAAGCTGATGTGTTGTTTGGAGATGCATTATCTAGTCTTGAGAGGAAGGATAAGGATTATAGGCCCGAGCTCAAGGCAAAGAGGTAGAATCAAGAGATTGGTGTCCCTCAACATGAAGATTAGAAGAATGCAAAAGTTTTGATGAAGTATTTGAAATTTTTTCATGATTTGACTTTGATTGCATGCACTACTTCTGTTGTGACTGCTCATCGATTCTTGAGAGAGTTTGGAAGGGTATTCTATCATGTTGAGAAAATGATGAATAGCACAGATGATGACATAGTTAGGATGGGTATGAAGATGAAGACTAAAGTTGACAAATATTGGTCGGAGAAGGATTGTGTCAACTTCAGATTGAACAGGTTGGTTTACATGGTTGTGGTGTTTGATCCGAGGCATAAGATGAATTATCCGGATCATATTTTCAAGAAGATGTGTGGAGAGGATAGGGCAAAAGTTTTGGTGAAAGAGTTGAATGATGAACTTCAGAAGTTGTTTGAATATTATTAGAGTAAGATGCCTCCTCCTACTCCTTTTCCTCCAAAACGTTGAGACAAGTTGCCACTTCAAGTTCACCGAGGTTAGGTAGTGATTATGATGATTATGATCTCGATGATGATTATGGAAAACCTCAAGCTGGTCATACTAAGAGTGAGTTGGAGAAGTATCTTGATCATCCTCGAGAATATGATGATGTCGAAGAAGAGTTTGATGTGTTGAAGTGGTGGAAGACTAATGCTATGAGGTATCCCATCTTGAGTGAGATGGCAAAGGATCTGTTTGCTAATCCTATGTCAACTGTTCCTTCCGAGTCCGTTTTTAGCACAAGTGGGCGTGTTTTAGATGAATTTAGGATCTCTTTGCATACTAAGATTGTGGAAGCTCTCATATGCAGTCAAGATTGGCTTAGATCAAGTTCTAGTGAGTTTGTGGAGCATCTTGATGGTGAAAATGATGACTATGAGGATCAAGAAGACTTTGTGAATGGTAAGTAAATTACTTTGTAGTTTTTAGTTTTGGCCATATAAATGCTATTGCTAACAATTTTTTTTATCCATATCATTTAGTTTACAATGCTATTATGGTGGATGAGGCGGAAAGGTGTGAGCATGTGAGTGGACACGGAGGTACAAGTACGAGCAATGTCGGAGGGAGTGATGTGTTTGGCTCGAGGAGTGGAACAAATCAAGGAGGTGGATCTAATGCTTCATTTGTTTCTCTTGAACCTGATGAGTAGAAATGGTTTGGTGAATTTGTTAGATTGGAGTGAATTTGGTGTTTGATGTCTAAACTTTGGTTGTGAACTTGTGATGCACTTTATTATTATTTTGAAGTTTGAATTGGACTTTGAGTTTGTAATAGACATCAATGATGGTTGTGATTTTGTATTGGACTATGTTTGGCTTGATTTTTGCTACAAACAGGTTGTCTACATTCCAGGAAAATGGGTATATGATGCTGAATTTTCTGCAACATGGTCAAAATGGGTAAAAACAGGTCAAAACCGGATTGGGACCAGACTGGGTCAAAACCGGACTGTACCCAATCCAAGCTTTGGTCCGCATATTTCCAAAAAGACCGGACTGGGTCCAGATCAATTCGGGCCAATTTAACCGGACCGTATCGCCACCCCTACTTAATTCCCAATAGAACATTAAATTTGAAATCAAAAGAAGCTTATGAATGAACCGTAGGAACAGAAAAAAGAAGCTTATATATATAGGCGCCACGACTGTCATGCGAATTAATGAACTCTCTACAACCCTCGTTTGCTTTCATTTCGATGAACACACTGCCCACCTAAACTCGACCACCACCGATTGCCTACTACTGCTGCCGGAGATTCTTCCGTTGGTACCGAGCAAGAGGAAGGAGGGACCTGAAGGAGGAAGTAGGTTTTAATGTTAGTTCTTTTTTTTTTTTTTTGTTTCCAGGCGTCAGACATGTTGAAAACCCCATCTCCGGCGAGATTGGGACGGGTTCTGACCAATCCCAACTTGTCGGAGACGGGTTTTTAATCCTTCCGGTGCTTCCAACGGCCGGTTTGAAAGATAAGAATTAAGGATATTTGAGTCATTTTAATAAAAATTAGGACGACGAATAAGGTATTTAGGGCGACGAATAGCAATGCCCGACGTATAACCCATGGTAATTTGCATTAGGTTTTGTTGAACCCTTCCGGTGCTTCCAGCAGCCGGTTTGAAAAATAAGAATTAAGTTAATTAAGGATTTTTAGTCATTTTAATAAAACGACGAATAACAATACCATGTAGAAATTTGCATTAGGTATTGTTGAAGGTGGAAAGGTATTGTACTATTGTTCAATTAGCACGAGACTTTTGCGTCTGAGAAAAAGAAAGAGAGAGAGCGAGCAAGAGACTGGGAGCGACAAAAGCAGCAGAGCTCGCAAACCGCAATGGATTCTTTCTTTTTTTCGGTTCGGCTGATTATCTGTTAAATCCTTTGGATTTACGGAATTCCAATTGGGGAATTGGATGCCGAAAACTCTGAAGATAGAAGAAGACGAAGAAATCATAGCTAGCTTTGCAGGATTTTCTTGATTCTGTTTGCTCGAGAATAAAGATCGATTTGCCTTTCTCCCTTTCGATTCCACGTGTAATTCGGGCAGCCGTTTGTTTCCCGGGAAACCGTAGAAAGAACAGAGAAAAGGCTTAGGGAAGGTGGCAGTGATTGGGATGTATGATGTTTTGTTGTGTATTCAAAGATCGTTTGCAGAATTGGCTTCGTGACTATGATCGGCTTCAATATTTGGCCGTCATCCTCATCTACGTTCAGGTTAGCTCTCCAATCTCCATCATACTTTCAGCTCACGCATAGCTAGCTCACGCATAGCTAGGGTTTCAGGTTTCGTTTCTTTTATTTCAATTTCACGCACAGATAGGATGTGCCTTGATTGGATCCCTGGGAGCATTGTACACTGGGGTTTTGCTCATCAATCTCAGCGTCGCATTGTTTGCTCTTGTCGCCATCGAGAGTAGCAGTCAGAGTCTGGGCCGCACGTATGCCGTCCTTCTTTTCTCCGCCATCTGCCTCGACATTTCCTGGTTCTTCCTCTTCTTTTCTGATATTTGGTATGCTCTCATTTGTCCTCACTACATTATGCTTCCTAATTACGTTTAATGGTTCAATGTCGAGAATTCACCTCTAGTTTCTCAGAAATGCTTGTTCAGGAACCTGCATAGCCATATCTCATCGTACTGGCTACACACATAGTGCTACACAGAGATGGAAATCCACTGCCCCCAGTCAACTCGTATGGTTGAATTTTTAGGGCTGTAACATTAATATTATTACCACTATCTTAGCTCTCTTTATGCTCGCTCATCTTCATCACTCTAGGGCAATGCATCACCCTATTGGTCCTACTCTCCTCCTCTACCTCTGGAATGGAAAAGAAGATTGATCATTGACAAACTTAGTGATAATATGCAAGTGGAATACTAAAATAGATTTAAGTGTCACAAACTGTTCACTGCACAGTTGCCTAGGGCACATACATTTCTGCCATTTTTGCTGCTTTCAAGTTCATGTATTCAATTGCCCTTGTTTCTGTTCCGGGTATTGATTTCAAAGTCGTCTTTCATGCAGGAACATTTCTCCCGAGAAGTATGGAATGTTCTTCATCTTTTCAGTGAAACTTACTCTGGCAATGCAAATCGTTGGATTCTCTGTGAGGTTATCGTCATCGTTCTTGTGGATTCAGATATACAGGTTGGGTGTCTCAAATGTTGAAAATGGAGCTCCCAGAGAAGCAGATTTTGATTTGAGAAATAGCTTTTTGAGTCCAACCACCCCTTCTGTAGCTAGGCAGTGCTCAGAGTCTGATGTTATAGGAGGCGCTGTTTATGATCCATCTTACTATTCATCTCTCTTTGAGGATAGTCAAGACAATAGAGAACTGCATGGGGTGGGTATCACCCAACTTGATTTATCTTTTCCCCCTACTTTATGTGATGCAATTGTTTGTTTTTGTTTGCTATCTTGTTATTAACCTCCTTCAGTGAAATGCTTTGATGTTTTAAATTCTGTCTAGTTTTTCACCAGTCATGTCATTTAGCTTTTTATGTACTTGGTTTATTATGTCCTTTGTTTTGTCTGGAAAGGCTTAGAAATAAACCTATTGCATTTTGTGGTGTCACGGAGGGAAAAATGCAGTGGTGTTTAAGAACATCTAATACAACTTCTTAAACCATGAGATTTGCTTTTTATCTTGGATTAAAGTTGTATCTCTCTCTTACAATGTTCACTATGTATCTCTGCTAGAGACTTCGAAGTTGAAAGTTTTGGTATTTAACCTTCAACATGCGTAGTAACATATGGATAGGTGGCCTCTATATGTGGAACAAAAAACTCTTGCTGGATTGGGCTAGAGGCTAATTGTTCCATACTTATCTACATGTTATCGTGTTCTTTCTGCCATTTTTTTTTTTTCCTTATATGCAACTGTTTTGTGTCTGGTCAGTAGTCTTATTTTATATACAAGTGTACATGAGCCCTTCTTTGGATAGCATAACTTACATTATTATGCTTGTAGGAGAAATCTTCTGGCTTGAGCGAAAATGGGTCCACTTCCAGCACTGATGTTTCTCGTCTAAAGGCATACAGAGGCATACCTTTCTGTAATGTAAATGTGAGTATTGTCACCATTTTTGGATTTCTGTTTTTGAACTTATTATTTCCTATGTGTTCAACGATATAGTCTCATAAGCATGGCAATGTGCATACACAGCTACGCCCAACAAGAATTAGTGTTTGGTAACTGTCGGTCTCCTTGGTGTGAGGCAGTCCGTTTTGCTCTGTCCTGTCTTTTGCTGTTTAGAGTTCAAGTCAGTGAACTGGTTGTGCGTAATCCCTAATCAGTCTTGATAGGCATGTTTGTTACTTCATTGTTTCTTGATGCCTGCTAATATTCTTTCTATAGAAGCACGACTTGGAATCCTGTATGTTGCTCTAGATATTTGTTGCTATTTTCACTTTTATCTTGCCGATTTATTTGTTTGAAAAAAACTGCTTTTCCTGCTGCTAGGGGTTAAGAACTGCACCCATCAAATTTAGCAAGAAGGGAGCACTGTCTGGTTGTTACAAATGCCTACCAAATCGGGATTTTGACATAAAATCGAAAATGAGGATAAAATTAGAATCGTAAATTAAAATTGTAAAATTTTAAGGTCCTTGTAGAAATTAACACTTAAAACATTGGATAGCATCAACATTGTAAATCCTGGATAATACTGAAACATGCCATTTGTTCTAGTTAATAATTAAGAGAGAACTTAACATCAAATTGCTAGGATCAATATTAGTATCTAAGTACTCAAAAGCATCATCACCATCATCTGGATGGTGCGGGGATAATCTTGGAGATGGATGCTGCCGACTAGTTTTGGTGGAGGAAGATGGCAGAGGGTTAGAGCTGGTGGCCGTTCAAAAGGAATGTGGTTATGAGAGGGGACTAGTAGAACGAGAGAGGAATAAGGGATTAGGTTTCTCGCTGATTTTGGGTAGGGGACACTGTCCAATTCGCGAGCAAAACCTAACCCCACTGGTCTTATTTGTTTTAATTGACCTTGAAATCGTGAAACTTTTGGATTTCGCAGATCTTTATCGAGATTTTATGGGATTTTAGGTTCCAAGATTTTGTAGTAAAATCAGGATCGGAGTCCTCAGGTAAAATGTAAGATCTTAATATCGTAAGATTTTAGAATTAAAATAAGAATTTGGACTGCTTTTATTGATGCCACTAGCAATGTTTCTATTTTTCTTTTTGAAATACAAATTTTCCTGCTCATTGAGCATTAAGAAACATGATTTGTATCCACAGTTATTGTAGAGCAAGTTGTCCATTGTATAAGCTGAAAGCTAGGTTCAAAGCACAAGTTTTAGGCTTTAGGATTGTCTCTACACATCTCTCCTGTTGGAGCTTTGTGCAGAGGACTTGGTAGGGATTTCAAATGCCATGGGAATAAATGTAGATTTCGCTCTGAAAATTGCTCTGTGGCAGTTTCTTCCTAAGGTTCAGAAAAGATACTAGGAAGTACTTGCAGTAGTGAAAAGCATACATGGAGATGTGATTCGTATGGACCAATGCTGAACTGGGCCACTCAGTTCAACACAATGCTTTAGAGGTTATTGGATTACGTCCTTATGCTTTTTGGGTTGAGCTTTGTGCTCCTGATTGCTGCTGTACTGGCGAACTTGTCTTTTTAACACGGGTATGGCTCTTTACAGGAAGAGAGTGGAGCAGGGAAGGCCCAGATGGTTTAAATACAATGACGGTTAGAGCATGTGGATTCGGTTTTTGGTAAACATTTTGCCAATATTTTTGGGTTTCAAGTGCATGAATGATAAGGGCATATTTGGATAACTAGCTGCCAATCATGGCGTCACGGAGGGTTAAGGAGGTCAGGTGGAAATTATATTTTGGATTTTGATCGATACCGAGGTTGCTGGGATGAAAAGAAAGCAAGCAGCTGCCGCAACAAGGCCATGAATCAGTAACGAAAAGCTAGCGCATTTTTTTTATCTGGGATTGCTGAGTGCTGAGTGCTGAGTGCTGAGGGTTATATAGTGTAACAGTCTCTCTCTTGTTCACAAACATTCATTCTTTTGTGCTAGCATTATATGGGATGAAATAGAATAGCTTGCCTGGTTCTGTTTCTTTCCCCTCATTTCCTCTTTTCTTTCCGCATTCGTTGACGAATACAGTGTGCTGCGCATCTTATTGTCCAATCTTATTGTCCACAGCTGACCTACTCTTATGATCTATGATCCTCGTTAGAGAGAGGATTGAATTGGTAGATTCATGGATTGGTGGATTGATTCATTAATTTAAATAGCATTCAACACTTGGACCATTTTGTAAACTTGGACATTTTAGGTATTAAAATATCATAATGAAAAATTTTAAGTATCAAAACATGATTTTCTAAAGATATTTTTTATATAAAAAAATAGATTTTAGGTAGCACTTGTATAATATAAAAGTACAGGTATTAAAATGTAATTCGTCGACTATCAATGAATCCAATACACGAATCCACCAATCCAATTGGGTTTGGAATTTGGATAAATGGATGGATTGGATTACAAATTGTCACCTCTATTGCTTATGGTTCTTTTAATTTTTTTTCTTACAGAAAATTGCCTAGGGTTGATTTGATTGGGTTGTATAGGGTGAAACTCGAATTACATAAATCTTTAGCGAGTTTGGGATATTTGTAATATACCAAATCTTTTTCCGAATAAAGTCTATGGTTTTCATTCCAAGATGCATATTGAAGTGATTTTTTTAGAACAAATATAGATTAAATTTAAATAATTAAAATAACATATTGGCCATCTTTTATCCTTCCCATTCCAACTCAATGCCATCTCTTCTCAAGGCTGGATTAGGGTAATAAAGCACTTAATTTGTTGTCATGGTGCTAACACTAATCTCAACTAATATGAAGCTTGTATTTTGCTGACTTTCTATGTTTAAAGGGTTGACCACGGATTTTAATGTTAATTGTAAAGGTAGGGGCATGCTTGTCTTTTAAAAAATTATTAGATCATATCATGAAGCAGACCAGAAACACGACTAACCAAATCACAACATAAAATTATAATATATACAATGATTTTTTTATTCCATAATATATCTAAGTGGATGTCATTTTGAAAGGCATGATTAGTTTGTTTTCCTTTTTGCTTTTCAAAATAACATCCATTATATATATATACACGTTGTAACAAAAAAATTATATAATACCAATGTATACTATAATAGTAAAATTTGGTGGTACATAAGATTATACAATAGTGATATAAAAGTGTATTATAATGGTAGTCAATGCAGTAAAAAACTAGCTTTAAAGCGTAAAAGACTACAAGTTTTTGGAACAAAAGCTATAGTATTTGAGAGGTCTAAAGCATAAAAGATAAGCTTTTATGCTTTAACCCTTCCACTTATTGTAACTTTTGTTACAAAATCTTTTTGCACCAAAAGCTCAAGTAAAAGCGCTCAAGCGGTAAAAGTCTTAGAAGCTAGTTTTAAACATCTTTTTAAAAATTTACGTTCAGTCTTTCCTTTTATGAATCATTAATCAACCTTTTGCTTCTCCTTCGTCTACTCTTCTCTTTACCTCCAAAATCAGCACATGTCGCACCATTGCCTAACAGCCAACGTCCTCACCGGTAGCTCTCGCAACACTGCTTCTAGCATTATCTTTTGTTGACTCACCTAGTTGCTGCAACTTCGATAGTGTCATTCAACTCAATAACCTGCCCCATCCCGACAACTCCTGCCTCCATTGAAGATCATTCTCTTTCATCCTCTCACTCACTATCGCTTTCACTGGTTAGTGAAGCCTGACAACAACACTTCTAGCTTTTCATCACTTATCGTTGGTTCCCTCTTGTTTTTTCCCCTTGAAAGCAGCATGAAGGTGTTGAATGCTTGTTAAGATCCTATTAATTTAGTTTATCTGTGTGAGAATATTAATTTTTTGGTTAATGACTATTTATTGGCCAAAACGTTTTCAGATTATTTTTTATTAGTCAAATCTATTGAATTACTAATAATTAGCCAAATGTTAACTTCCAGTTAGTAATTTTGTTAACAATATTGACTTGGCAACATGATACTGATTTAGAAGAGATACATAAAGGTTAATTTTAGTATTTTAACTAAGGAAAGAGTTACAAAAATTTTAACGATAATGTAAAAATGACTAATATTTTGATGCATTACAAAATGTTTGGCAAATTTTAGTATTTCAATATGTTTGGCTAATAAAAAAGAACCTTAAAAAATTTGGCTAATAAATAGTCATTACCTTATTTTCTTAAACATAGATTGCGTAAAAGTAACATAAAGTAGCGTAAAGCAGACTGCGTAACCAAACGTGGCAGTCAACAAATAGTCGAACTGCCGATGAGAGGCCGTGGATCCGCACTTAATGGGCTTCCCTTTTAAACCGACATGGAGCATATAAGTACAGAAAAAGGAAACAGAAGAAAAAATAATCGTCGAACTTCCTTCGTGAGAGCTCCCCCCGGACCATGATCCACCTCACGCCTAAGCAAGCCAAACAAGAGTTTGACAATCCTCATAAAATTAACCACAGTAAAATGTGAGAATGATCTTTAAATATGAGTCATTTCACTTATTTGTTAATATATTTTTTTGCACAATACAAGTTATAATTAAAAGATTTCTTGAAAATTTACAAGATGGGTAAAAGTTTAAGATTTTGCGTTTCACTTTTACACTTTCGCTTTTACCCATTATTTGCTTCTACATAGAAGTTAGACTTTGACTTCATTGGTGGTATGAATATACCAAAGTGTAGCGAAAGTTGGCTTGATCCAGCGGTATTGTCATTGTTCTTGAACCTAGAGGTCACAACTTCGAATTCCTCAAGTAACACCTAATGAAAAAAACACACATATATAAAAAAAAAAAAAAAAAGAAGCAAACTTTGGCAGGATTCATTGAGAAATAGAATGAATCTCATCATCCAAAATTGGTTCACATAATAAATGTTGCTCTGTTCCATTAAGTCTCTTTGTCACATACCGACCAACTTGATCGTATTGAGGACTAATATCTTGCCTCCTCAGCAATGTCTTCTAGCTTAGTAAGTATCTTGCCTGAATCAGATATAAGCTTTCGAATTTGCTTGCGAGCAGCGCGAACCTTCGTAGTCTTATGAAAGAATCCAGTATTAGAATCACCAAGGAACAAGTATTGAATGCGTGACTTTTGTCGATAAAAACTCTCCTTCGCCTGATGCAGATGTGGACATAGTTCAGTGGCTTGCTTTTCTGCCTCAAAGTTTGCAGCAGAAGGATCCTCAAGAGCCTGCAATTGCTGAGTTTTCATGTCCTGTTCAGCTTCTCTCACTCTTGCAGATACATCTGAGTACTCGTCCTTTTAAGACTTCGGAGCTCTTCCTTAAGAAGTATTAACTTTTGCCTTATTCTCTGTAGTGGAAAGCCTCCAACCTGTTCTCCCCAACATTGCCTTAATATCATCCATAATCGTTCATGGGATAGCCACATATCAAAGAATTTGAATGGCTTAGGAAATGATTTTCGTTGAACCTTAGTGGAATATAATGCCACAATGGTCAGAAAAGAGAGGCGTAAGAAGCCTGATGATCAATCAACTCCATGTCCCCTACCCATTCCCTAAATGCACTCATGCTACTTGTAATAGAAATCTCGTTTGATGCTTCCATAGGATGGAGGACAACATTGATATCTCCCCCAATAGTCCAAGGGAAACCCTTCACACACCACTGCTTCACCTCTCTATACGTATATAAATGCTCACTTTCCTCATTTGAGGCATAAACCACTGTGAAAAAGAATTATTCGGAGTTGGATAGAGATACCAAACCATGGATAAAGAATGCACTTCTTGTAAGCACCCTAAGTTGTACTCCAGTTTTCCATGCTAACCAGATCCTACCAAGCTTATTATATCTGTAATTATCTTCAAATGTAAAACCAATAAACTTTTCTTGTATTTTTATTAGTTAATGTGTTTGACCATCCAAGATAACGGTCAAACATTGGGTTTTGCCAATTTCGTTACTTTGATGAATAGTTTGGGCAAGATGTTATAGATCGAAAAAATTGGTCAGGATTTTTATTATGTGCAAAGTTCAGGCCATACCATGGTTGTCATGCCAGTGGTATGTCGACTCGGTTGAACCAGGTCCAACCGATACCGGTCATGAAATCAGCTGGAATATCACCGGCACAACCCTCCAGCCAATACCGGTCAAAGCCGACCAAAATTGGGAATTCCGGTGGTTCTGGTGGTTCAACCGGCATGGGAGATGCAGGCCAAAGGCCTCCAAACGAGGCCGTTTTGTCCAAAAATTGTAGGGTTTCAGCAGCCAAGCTCCAAAGCGCATCCCCATTCTCCACTTCGCCTCGCCCAACCAGTCTCGACCTCCTGCCTGCGCTCGCGTTCAAGCTTCTTCCGGCAAGACCTCCTTCAGCAGCCCGGGCAACAAACTCCTCCGGCGAGGTCCCTCGATTCGACAGCAGCCCACCTGTCACGTTCATCTTCCTCTCGGCGCGACTTCTTCCGCCGACGCCTCGATTCGCCAACAGCAAGGTTTTCTGGCGATGCACGAAATGCGGCAACCCTGCTTCTTCTTGTGTGTGACGATCTAATGGCCCCCAACAGTCCACCTTCTTCCTCAAATCACCTCCAGCCCTTGTCTCAGGTAACGACTTGGCTTCTTCTGTTCTTAAATCTCCAAACTCATTTGATATATCCTATCTTGGGAAACAAATTGATATGTAAACATTAAACAACTTTGATTTGTGTATAATTTGTTTGTAACTTCGTATATAATCTTGTGCATATAATCTTTTGGGTGAAGTGAATAGGGTGATGATGAATTAGGCTTCATTCTCTAATTTGTTGCTCAATTTTACAGATCAAAGTAGATGGACTCAAGCAATGCATTAACTCAACCATCTGTGGCAAGTAGTAATGATGGTTCTTTTTCCACAGTTCGCTCAAAAGAAGATCCTACTTGGGAGTATGCCGAAGAAATCAGAACTGATGATGGGAAGTTGTGGAACAAGTGCAAGCTACGTACTCATATTATAAAAGGTGGAGGAATTACTAAAGTGAAGCAACATTTAGCCGGAGAAAGGGGTCAAGTTGGTCCTTGTCCTCAAGTTAGCCATGATATTCGTGAGAGGTTCAAGGCTTTACTTAAGGCATCTACTAAATCAATGCCTATTGCAAGGGTTAATGTTGATGATTCCGATGAGGAAGGTAGTACACGTGTAGTACAAGGGAAAAGCGCTGCAACAACTCCTAATTTCTTTGCTCCAAGAACAAGCCCAGAAGCTCAACCTGGTATTCGGAGTGCTTTCGCAGGAAAAGAGGCAAAGAAGCATGCAAACCTCACAGTGTGCTACTACTTTACCTCCAGGTAATCAATTGTAATGACTCTATTATTTATTTATTTTGTATATCTTGTCAAATAGGATTTGCTTATTAGAACTTATATACCTGAATGTAGCTGAATGGTGGACACTATATGGAGATGATGTTCCAAATTTGCAAAGTGTTGCTATACGACTTTTGTCTCAGACATCATCATCTTCTGGTTGTGAGCGGAATTGGAGTGTATTTGACCAAATTCATAGCAAGCGGAGGAATCGATTGCAGCACCAGAGATTAAACGATCTTGTTTATGTGACATACAATCTGAGATTGAAGTCTAGGTAATATTTTGTTTGCATGTTACATTGTGAAACTTATTAGTACTTTGTATACTTAATTGTTTCATCTTCTTTGATTTTTAGGTGCTTGAAGAAAGAGTGGAAGAGAGATCCAATTCACTATGAGCAATTGGATAAAATTGATTTTTGGATTGTAAAGGAAGGTCCACCTACAGACATTGATTTTGAGGAGATTGAAAAGGCTCTCTATGAGGAGGAGCAGGAGGAATCATCATCCTCATCTAGAAAGCGTCCTCGTGTTGACGGTTGGTTTAGTATATTATAATTTAAAGTAAATTCATTCTTGTTATAATAGTGAACTTGCCATTATTAACAATCATATATATGATTTTGTGGTTTGGTGCAGAGGACTTTGATTATGATGTGACCGATGAAATCGATTTCGATCTTACTCAAATCATTGACGCAATGGAGATGGAGATGGATGGTTTTATCTTTGAGGATGTTTGATTATGTACTTTTAACATTTGGGTGATGTTTGTTGAATGTTTAGGTGATGTTATCTTTGAGAATGTTTGGTTATATACTTTAAACTATGAATGTTTATGTGGTGTTTGTTGGATTTAACTATGAATATTTAGATGTTAACATTAACTTATGAACATTTGTGAGTTGGTATTTAATTTTGTCCTAATTCAATTAAGGATGTATTTTAGATATATTTTTTGTGATGAGTTATTATATTCATATCCATAAATTTGGTAAAACCAGCACAAACCGACATAACCGGTATGAAACTGGTTCTATCACGGTAGAACCATTCCATTTGTAAACCGACGTACCGGCATAAACCGATTTGACAACTTTGAACCATACAAATATATTAACCGAATAGTTATTACCCTTTTCATTTTTCTTTTTCTTTGAGTAGAGTACCAAGTTTTTCGTTTGGGCCCGCCTAGAAACTAACGGCCCGATACGTCGGCCCTGTGTATAGTAGTCATCTCCATATTCCTATAGTTGTCTTCACCAACGCACTACCGGTTCTTCTTTCTCTAAACCCTAGTGCTTCTAATATAAAGAAATTGTAAGAGGAAAATCGCAGCTGCGTAGGCACAAACTCTGGCGACGATTGAAGGTAAGGCAGAGCCGAGAAGGAAAAAGACCCGGAAAGATGAGACCAATTCTCATGAAAGGTCATGAAAGGCCGTTAACCTTTCTGAAGTATAATCGTGAGGGGGATCTATTGTTTTCCTGCGCCAAGGATCACACTCCCACCGTCTGGTTTGCCGACGACGGAGAGCGTTTGGGCACTTACCGCGGCCACAATGGAGCTGTCTGGTCTTGCGATGTCTCAAGTAAGCCTCTCTCTCACCTGCTTCTTCCTTCTTTCTTTTGTCTTTCGAATTCGGACACTCATGCCCCTATTGTTTCTGTTTAACATATCAGGAGATTCTACGAGATTGATTACTGCTAGCGCTGACCAGACAGCCAAGCTTTGGAATGTCCAGACTGGTGAACAGTTGCATACGTTCAATTTTGACTCTCCAGCGAGGTCTGTTGATTTCTCTGTTGGTGATAACCTCGCCGTCATTACCACCGATCCCTTCATGGCTTTTACCTCCGCCATTCATGTGAAGCGTATTGCTAGCGACCCTTCTGAGCGTACGTTATTTGCTTGCAATTGGTTACCGTGTCTTATGCCTCGGGCCTCGGCACCGTTTGTCAGTTATCAGTTCATTAACATTTTTCAATGGGGGATGGAATGTGTAGAAACTGGCGATTCAGTTCTGGTACTCAAGGGGCCTCAGGGAAGAATTAATAGAGCTGTTTGGGGACCTCTCAATCGGACCATAATTAGTGCTGGAGAGGATTCTATCATTCGTAGATGGGACACCGAGGTAAATATTTAATTTTTGCATTTGTTTCCTGATTTCTGTCCTTTGCAATTTTAGACTTCAATTATGGACTCATATATCACCTTGATCCTGAGCTTAAGGGAGCAATCAATTTATCTCTGAGCTCGAATTGTAGACTAGATATATGGAGAAGCAGAAATTGCATGTACTGCTTCTAACATGTGCTTGCTTCTAGTAATACAAGAATTCCATTTTAGCCTTCCTCAAGATGACAAAACATGTTCAAATAGTACTCCAGTTTGGTTGACTCGGGTAATTGAATGTGTTGAACCCTTGTTAACTCAAACAGTGACAGTGTAATTATTTCTTAGCAGGTGTTCATAAATTTGTAGTAACTGTAATTGAAGTAAATTTCTATTGAGATAAGATCACCAATGAGTGTCAAGCAGAGTCATCTACACCATATTTTCCATAGCAATAGAAGTTGACAGTAGTTTATGATTCATGTTGTGTTTTTGTTTGGAGAGGGACAAGGGTAATTGTCATTGTTATATATTCTCTTACATGCATATTGTATTGTTCGTGTTGCTGCGGGGGGGCATGGGCTTATCTAACAGTTTAGTGGTTGTGTGTGAAGTATGTTCCTGTTGTTTTCATCTTGTGTCATCATGAGATAGTGCATTGTTTCCTTCACTTAGATTACATGCTTGGTCTGGATGGTCTTTATGTGGATGATTTGTGGTTCCTCATACCTTCCGTGTCCCTTGCATTTGCTTGATGGTATCATGTTTTCTGTGTTAGTCTATGTTCATAATATTATATATATATATGTGCCCATTTTGCAGACAGGAAAGTTGCTTCAAGAGTCAGAGCCAGAAGTTGGGCATACGAAACAAATAACTTCACTTGCAAAGTCTGCTGACGGTTCACACTTCGTTACTGGTTCTCTTGACAAATCAGCAAAGGTTGAGTCTGACAGTGCATGTTTATTCTATTGATGTTTGATTTCCTTTGCACTGAGAATCTGAATGTCTCTTGTACTTTGTGTATTATGTGATGGTCAGCTTTGGGACATCAGAGATTTATCCCTGATTAAGACTTATGTGACCGAGCGGCCAGTTAATGCTGTTACAATGTCCCCACTTCTTGACCATGTATGTATTTTGAAGCAAGTTTATTTATGTTATCCATGTTTGCACGTATCATATTGTTATTGCCAATATGAAATCCTTATTGGGGAAATTAATACTTGTATCTTCTGTCCCTTCATATGAATCTTAGTTTCAATGTTTTGGTGGGGATCTGATTTTCTGTTGTGTGCTGAACAGGTTGTCTTGGGTGGTGGCCAAGATGCATCATCAGTGACCACAACTGATCACCGTGCTGGAAAGTTCGAAGCAAAATTCTTCGACAAGGTTAACTGAACTTCAGGAGAGCATACTGTGAAATCCATTTTGGGTAGGAGATTTGGCTGATTCATCTTTGCATGTGCTGTGTAGATTCTGCAAGAAGAAATTGGAGGCGTTAAAGGTCACTTTGGTCCGATCAATGCTCTGGCTTTCAATCCAGATGGCAAAAGGTGAGATACCATTTTTGATAAATCAGAGAAGAATGTTAATGAGATTTCATTCTTGCTTTACATATTTTCTTATGCGAATGTAATTTTGATTCTCTTGGGGCATTACAGTTTCTCCAGTGGAGGTGAAGACGGGTATGTGAGGCTGCATCACTTTGATCCTGACTACTTCAGCATCAAGATATAGGGATAAGGCGAGTGTGAGGAGCTCTACAGCAGTGTGAGAGGGTGCGAATGAATTTGGGTTTATTTCTTCTCACAAGAAAGAACCTGCTGTTGTAGAATATAAACGTTTAGTATTATAATGGTTGTTTTTACTTGTTAGTTATTTTTATTTGTGTGGTTATATGTGCCAGGAGCTGGCCTTTTTTTGAGCACTCTAGAGACCGTATGCCCGACATGCATTCATGTAGGAAAAACATCGTTCTGATAATGCCGAGGCCCACTTAGAAATGCCTAATTTGTCGCTTTTCATAAGGGGATTGGAACATAATGAGTTTAGCAACAAGCTAATAAAACCCTAATGTGACCCTTTTACCCCGGGATAGGTTTTTAGTAATCACCCCATGGTTACTAAGGGTAAATTGGGTATCATAAAAACTTTATTAATGATTTTTTTAATAAATTACATTTTAGAAAATTACATAAATATATTAAATATAATTTTTTTTCTCTCTTTCTCTCACTTCCACAATTTTACACCCAGATCTCTCTTCCTTCTTTTTCTCAATCTTTCTTTGATTTCGTTCAGCCAAATTAATATATGCAACAACAAAACAATAAATCAATACCAATCCATTAAAAAATACAACCATTGTATAAAACATAAATACCATTCGAGAAATAAAACGCTACCATTTCACAAAACATCAATATCATTGCAGATTTAATCATTACCAATGTGACAAAATTAATACCAATGCATCAAAAATAATACCAATGTGACAAAAACAATACAATACGACAAAAACACTACCACTACCATTTAAAAAAAATCACTACCATTTTGGAACCAGGAGCCGGCGTTGTGGCAGCTCTGGCAGTAGACGACTCCTTCCACCACGACGTCGGATTGTATCTTCTGTGGGGTTGCGGCGGCGGCATGTTGGTGGTGGTATTGGGGTTCTGCGGACATTGATGGGAGTGAGTTGAGAGGAGAAGGAGGGTGGTGATGAGGTGGATGCGAGTTGGCGGCGCCATTTTTTGGGTTTGGAGGTTGTGGGAATGGAATCAATGGATACTTGGCTTGTTGAGTTTTTGATGATGAGATTGAGCGATGAGTTTGTGGGGGAGATGTGGTGATTTATATATATGTATGGACTATGGATAATGGATCCGTCATGGGAGATTGTTTATGGACAAGCAGGTGACGATGGATGAAGAAGCGGAGCTGTCGGCGAAGGAAGGCGGCGACGTCGATCTCCTCACTAAACCCAGGTCGCCGTCGAGGAATAAGCTGACGACGAGATAGGGCGGTGGCCATTAGCCTCTCGCAAACCCTAAGCCATCGTCGGGGAGGGTGAGAGCTTGCGGCTACGACAGGTTTGGCTGTAGAAGTAGGGTTAGGGTAGAATATATAGAATAATCAAGTGTGTTCTTTTTTCATCCAAAATTATCCTGAGGCAATCTTAACTGCAAGATTAAAAAAAAAAGAGAAAAGAGAAGAAAATAAATGGTGGATACTGATGTAGCCACGATGGCTACTAGAAATCCAGTTACCACCCTAACGCATTCCTCTTTACGCCATAACCTATTCGCCCAAACATGTAATTGACGAATCGATTGAGTAGTGTGGAGAAATTGGTCTACCAAACAATTAGCGCACCTTGAGAGTATGGGAAGGAAAGGTTGGAGGTTCTGTTCCCCTTCCCTTCATCAGGGTTCGGTTGGTATCATCGATCGGTAGATTGGCGCTTGGCGGCGTCGATTGGGTGTCCAGTCATCGTTGGTGGGTGTCGACTGCGGGGATGGGGAACAAGAGGGGCATAGAAGGTGGCTAGGGTTTAGGAACCCTTTTATGTTTTGGCCCGGGTTTGGACCCTATTGGGTTACCGGCCCACATGTTTGAGCCTCTTTGTTTTGATTTCTGATCGAGTCTCTTTTTATGCTTGTACCTTTCCATTAGTGCTTTGGCTCGGTCGCCTTCTTAATGGCACTTATCTTTTAAAAAAATGTATATTCACAGATTACATTGTAAAAAACATACTACGAGTCCAAAGGGCAGGGTCTAGACTACTTGGTTTATGATACAAGCTTGTTAATTAGATTGTTCAAACTCGTTCTTCTCTATTACTTCCCTTGCTCATTGCCGCATCATATTGTGGTTGGAGTAAGTTGAAGGGACCACCACTAGGTATCATGGGTCTGTAGTGTTAGTAATGACAATTTGAACTCGTCACGGATGGTTTACCTCAATTTATTTTAAGCTATTATTATTGGTAATATTTAGACTGATTTTAAATCATATTTTCACCAAATGTTAATTTATATAATTACAAGTCTTTATTTTTCAACTAATTAGACTTAATTAATCTACCTATTATTTATATTTTCATTTATGAACTATTTTCTCTTAATTTTATTGTTAAAAATAAAAATCTTCTCCAAAAAATATACATGAACGAGTCGGCCTACACCAAATCCGTACCCAAGTAGGTATTATCCAATATGATATGTGCTTGACTCGAGGCGAATATGGGCATGAGGTACTTGTCTCGCTCCTTCTCATTGTCATCACTACATGTTAGTCTACAGTTTTTACGGTTCAATTTAATTGATTTGAAGCCTAAAATAAGGTGGTTTGAGATCAACTCAATCCAATAACCCTGTTAGTCTAAACCGTTAAATTAAATTGCTCACTCTACCAAGTACACGTAAAACAATTGATTTATTGTAAAGAAACGAATAAAATATGCTACTCTAATTATCTATGAAAACTGTTGTGATTCTAAGATAAATGCCACAAATATATTATTTGTCCCGAAAACGGGGAAGACTAGTTTCTCTTTTTTTTTTTTTTTTTTTTCAGGCTTGAAAAAGGCAAAACTAATTAGCTAAAGAAAGAAAAAGAAATGTGCGTGATTGTAGGGAGATTGAGGAAATATATACGAAGAATAAGAAAAATTCAAATGTCAAATACGAGAATGAAAGGAGAAGCGTAATAAAGGGGATGTGAGTGGAGGAGTGAGAAGGAAACCAAAAACGACATTGAGGAATGGTAAACGAACATAGCCGAAAGAGTTGACACGTAGCACAAACTCTGGCTTGCTAATGAAAGCAAAACATGATACATATAAAAAGGGATGAGAATGTGGAGAGGCAAACCATTGCAAAAGCCATTAATCCTTGTTCATCACAATCTTATCAAACAGCCAAAAGAAAAGGAAGAGCCTTATTGTTATTCCTTGATGAAATAGTTTCTTGATCCCAGCCTTCCCGGGAATAATAGAAGAAAAATCGATGGTATATGCAGCACGTCAAACATCGATTGAATAATTAGATACAGTAGATAAAAGAAGATATATAGAAAAGAGGAATTAGATCGATCAGTGATAAGGAAAATGATGACTCCTACAATGAGGTTGGTGTTGCTAAGCATTGTGTTCTTAATTTATTGGCCAACTGCGGTGGTTCGGGGGGAAGACCCCTACATTTTCTTCACGTGGAATGTGACCTACGGAACACTGGCCCCATTAGGCACTCCGCAACAGGTAATATTGATTAACGGCGAGTTTCCAGGCCCCGTCATCAATTCCACATCCAACAACAACGTGGTTGTGAATGTGTTCAACAACCTGGATGAGCCATTCCTCATCACTTGGAGTGGGGTCCAGCAGAGGAAGAACTCGTGGCAAGATGGGGTGCTTGGGACCAACTGCCCAATCCCACCAGGCTCAAACTACACCTACCACTTCCAGGTGAAGGACCAGATCGGAAGCTTCATGTACTACCCATCCACAGCCATGCACAAGGCCGCAGGTGGATTCGGAGGCCTGCACATCAATAGCCGCCTCCTAATCCCGGTCCCTTACCCAGATCCCGAGGATGACTACACGGTCATTATCAACGATTGGTACACCAAGACCCACTCGGCACTCCGCAACATGCTGGACAGCGGCCGCACCTTGGGCAGACCCGAAGGCGTCCTCATCAATGGCAAGAATGCCAAGGGAGACGGAAAGGACGAGCCCCTCTTCACCATGAAGCCTGGGAAGACATACAAGTACAGGGTGTGCAATGCCGGGTTGAAGACCTCCCTCAACTTCAGGATCCAGGGCCACGGCCTGAAGCTAGTCGAGATGGAAGGCTCTCACGTTGTACAGAACGTCTACGATTCACTAGATGTCCATGCGGGAGGGTGCCTGGCAGTGTTGGTGACGGCGGACCAGGATCCCAAGGACTATTACATGGTGGCCTCCACTAGGTTCACCAAGACGGTGTCCACTGGGAAGGGAATCATCCGTTACGAAGGAGGGAAGGGCCCAGCATCAGCTGAGATCCCCGCAGCTCCAGTTGGGTGGGCCTGGTCCCTGAATCAGTTCCGGTCCTTCAGGTGGAACCTCACAGCCAGCGCCGCGAGGCCAAACCCTCAAGGCTCTTACCACTACGGCCAGATCAACATCACCCGCACCATCGTGCTTGCCAATACCGCTGGGCGGGCCAACGGGAAGCTTCGCTACGCCATCAACGGGATCTCCCATGTGAACCCACCCACCCCGCTGAAGCTGGCAGAGTACTATGGAGTTGCTGATAAGGTGTTCAAGTACGACATCATGCAAGACAGGCCACCTGCCTCCGACAAGGCTGAGATTGTGATGCAACCTAATGTTGTGAACATCACCTTCAGGGACTTCATCGAGATCATCTTTGAGAATCACGAGAAGAGCATCCAGGCCTACCACTTGGATGGCTACTCCTTCTTTGCAGTGGCGTGAGTAACTCATTAATTAATTCATTAATTGCCCATTGCCCAACCCATGCATGCATCTGATGTCCATCATCATCATCATAATTAACATATACTTACATACATTCAGGATCGAGCCTGGAACTTGGAGCCCAGATAAGAGGAAGAACTACAATTTGCTTGATGCGGTGAGTAGGACGACGATCCAAGTATACCCAAAATCGTGGGCAGCCATTCTATTGACTTTCGACAATGCTGGGATGTGGAACATCAGGTCAGAGATTTGGGAGAGGACATACCTTGGCCAGCAGTTGTATGTCAGCACGCTTTCTCCAGGGCGCTCTCTCAGGGACGAGTACAGTCTTCCCGACAACTCTTTGATCTGTGGCATCGTCAAGGATATGCCCAAGCCTCCACCATACACCCTCTAAATCCCATCCACCCCCTTCTGCCACCTACCTCCAATTCGATCTCTTCATATCATTAATAAAAAAAAATTAACCCAACGCAGCAGCAGCAACTTTCAACAAATCCTAAGGATATATCATATCGTCCATGCATCCTTCTCGCCCAAGATCTGAGATCGAGTTTGAGCAGTAAATTCACGAGAGAGGCAGGGGAAACACGCCTACAAAGATCAAGAAAAGCCAAACCCAAAAAAGTATATAAAAAAAAAAAAACAAAAGAACTCCTTATGTGATCTTATGTCTTTACATTTTCTCTTTTTCCCCTCTGAGATTTGGCTTTGTTTCCTTCAATTACTTGTATTGCTCTTCTTCTTTCATATAATCAAATATTCTTATCTCTTCTTGTTCATTTTCATGCGCTCCCCACTATTTTATTTAATCATCCAGTGCTCCAAGTATTTAATTTACACTAGCTAGCTAGCTTTCAGAAATCATTATGTAATGTTGTTGCTTCATACTTAATTATTCGTTGAAAGTCTCAATAAACTTTATTCCCTTACAAAATAATCACTATGGATTGAGAGAGATGCACATGCAATGCAAGACAAGAGTTAGACAAGAAAACACAACGTTTTTATTTATGATAATGTCTATTTTTTATCCAAATATTTTTCAGATTCTTTTATATTATTCAAACCTATTAAAATACTATTAATTAGCCAGATCTTTCGTAATGCATCAAAATATTAGCCATTTTTACGTCATTATTAATAATTTTGTAACTCTTTTCTTAGTTAAAATTTGGCTAATTTTTGAAGTTAACATTTGGCTAATTTTTAGTATCATTTGATATATTTATTCAATGCATGTATTATCATTTGATGTATTTATTCAATGCATGTATTATCATTTGATGTATTTACAAATTGCTAACTTGAAGTTAACATTTGGCTAATTCTTAGTATCATTTGATGTATTTATTCAATGCATGTATTATCATTTGAAGTTAACATTTGTTCGATTTGTGTATTATCATTTGATGTATTGCTTCAATGCATGTATTAGGAAAATACTTTGTTTGGAGGGGCAATGATGAAACAAAAAGCAGGGTAGACACTACCTTGTTGACAATCTCACTGTTTGGTAGAGATTTATAATCATGCATTTTAAGCGATTGTATGTAGGGCCTAACAAAAAGGTGATACATGAATTCTAACTCAAAGTGAACCAAAAAAAAGACTAAATCTTATCATTACATGTATTTGCTAAATACCTTAAGGGTTGTTTGGAGGTTGGAATTCTCCAAATTGAAGTATTTAATCAATTTGTGTATTGTAATTTGATGTATTGATTAAATGTATGAATTTGAAAAATACATTGTTTGGATGTTTATATTGTGCTTTGTTATAAATGAAAAGGTAGAGGGTAGACAATCTCTTGGTCACAATCTCACCTTTTGGTAGGGATTGATAATCACTCATTTTGAGTGATTGTGGATGGGCCCAGAAAAAGGTAATACATGTATTCTATCACAAATTTAACCAAAAAACGACTTAATCTTGACATTACATGTATTGGTTAAATACATCGCTTGAAATCCCAATCTCCAAACGACCCCTTAGTTTATTCCAAGTAGGTCATCAGGCCTATGTTTCATGGAATCAAAACCAAAGAATTCGCAATTCGCCTTGCTCTTTAACACACATTGCCACAATTATTTCTCTTTCTTCCTATCTCTATCTAAAAAATAAATTTCGCTGGAACTCTACATTTGTCGATCTCAAAACTGCAGATGCTAACGTCAACACATTTGACCGTCCAAGATAACGATCAAATCTCGAGTTTGGCCAATTTCGTAACTTTTATGCATAGTTGAGGCCACGAAGTTATAGAACGAAAAGAATGGTCAGGATGTTTAATATGTGAAAACTTCGGGCCATACAAATATATTAACCCTATTTTCTTTTATAGATGTGGTTTTTTTTAAAAAAATAAAAGTTTAGTTAATTTTCTACATTAAATAAATATTTTGCTAATTTATTGTATTTGATAGAAGTTAAAGTTTGACTATCTTTTTGTGGTTGACAAGTGTAACACTTCAATCAAATCATTCATCGAAAAAAGTACGGAATAGATTTTTTTTACAAAGAGAATCTTGTATTGCACCATGAATGATCGGTTACAGAGAGGAACACATGAATCAAAGTGAATTCAAATAAGCAAAATGTGTCCCCGAGAAAACGGTTGAAAACACACCGTGCTTGAGAGATATATTGATAAGATCAAAGCAAAGAGTGAAAACATCTAGCCAAAAGGACCAGGACACTTGATCCAAAATTAGAAAATCCATAATTCCTCTATCAACCAAACAAAACATAGTACCACCAAGCTCAGAGACAGCTCGTCCAATCACAACGGTATCCATTGCTTGAGCAAAGCAATACCATATGGCGCCTCCTGGGGATTGCTCAAAGACATCCAACACAGTGAATCTCAGAAACAAGATTACATGGCGATGGAGAATGTCTTGACTCGGATTGTTTCGAACTAAAAAGGCAGAGGGATCCAAGGCAACTAGATCGGATCCATAAGAGCTGAAGATTCTGATTCAGCCACCAGACTCTAAGGAGAAATCGAACAGCCTCCGCAACGAGCCGGAGAAGACGATGCCCTCACCAAAATGAACTCACCGAACTTGGGAAACAACCACCCCACAAAACAAATTGGGGTTCCCAAGCAGCAAACTCCAGAACCCTCGATGAGCAAGCTCTGAAAACGAACCGAAGAGACAAGCTCAACTTGAAATGGAAACGGAAATGGAAATTGAAGGCCATAACGACTGGAAAGGAGAGAAAAAAACTGGAAATATCCGATGAAAACTACCCAAAGCAAAGGTAAGCTGCGGAAAAAGGAAAAAAACATTAAAATGGGTTACCGTCGGTAACTAGAAGGTGTCGCCGGCCACCCTTGGGAAGAAGAAAATGAAAGTAACTATGACAGAAGGGAGAGCGCAATTTTGAAAAAAAGGTACGTAGTGAGAGAAAGGTTATTTTACTTTCTTGTGACGGTTGTACGTGATAGATTCGTAGGTCATAAAAATCATGAACTAACCATATGTGTTTGTGATGAATTGTAGGAGCTCTTGTGACTTGTTATGAAGTCATCATGATGCACCTAAAAATCTTACGGAGTAGGATCAAAGAAGATAATATCTTGGACATAAAAGAATTAATATGTTGCAATTGATACTAGAGCCTATATGCGCCCCTCTTGAAAGATGGTGGGGCAATACCTCAACGAGAATGGTACTCAACAAGGGTGTTATGTTATACTTTAGGAAAAGTTATCATCGACAAAGTACAAGTGAAATCCAGGGGCGATAATGAATAATTCAACCTTAACTAATAAAACACTTTTTTGCGTGAAATAGAGGAGACCTTCTAAGAACTTTTAAGTTGAATGTGCTTAGAATGAAGCTGTGCAAAGATGAGTAATTTCTTGAGAAATCACCATAATGCACTCAAAAAAAAAATTCATACCGAGCTTGATATAAATTTACAATAAGTGTGGCCATAAATCAACCATTTGAATATTTCATTTTATTGATTCAAATTGTGGACTTAAAAATAGATTTAAATGAGAGACTTCACTTTTCTAGGAATAATTGTTGACGAATAACTTGACAAAAGGATAGAACTGTCACGTATTCATAGTTGAGGGACATAAAAATACAATAAATTAGTAGAATAAGTCATTTTGTTACCTTTAAATGGTAGAGGGACTCGTTTAGTCATTTTGTTAAGAATGTTCTTGGTCGTCGTGGACCAAGCAAGAGAGGGGAAAGACAGGAAACGAGACGAGATTTATTGGTCGCCGTCGGACAAAAAAACACAATTAGACAAATCACAAAGGGGAGAGAGCGCGGAAAAGAGAGGGAGAACTGGGAATCTGGGATAGCTGCCGCCGATCGGAGATTGTTCGACGCTTTTGCTCCACAGCCTGGGGGAAGGCAAGTTTTACTTTCTAGATAGATCCTTCCTGTCTTTAGCTATACAGTTCAAAAGTCGTTCAATGATTGTTTTTGTTCAACTCAAACATGGCGATCCTGCTGCCTATCATTACTCTTCTGCTCAATGCTTTGCTTTGCTGCTTTTCTTCCGATACACATACACTCGAACCTTCCAGATCATTTGCCCGCTGAAATGGCAAGTTAGGAAACTAAAGTCGATCTCGTTCGTGTCTGCTCTGCACGTCAATCTTTACCTTCTTGCTTGCTTATGAATCCTCTAATTCTCCTCTCTTTTATGTAATTATATGTGCTTAGGGTTCCATAGGAATCGAATCACCAGCACCGAGTTTGCCTCCGACGACCCTCACTTTTTTCTTCTGGTAAGAATCCAGAGTCAACCCTCCTCTTCTTTCCGTCTTATCTAATCTTCAAATTCTCTTCCCGATCTGACAATTCAGCTCATAACTCGATCCATCTCCACTGATCGATCGTCAAGGTTTCCGCTCTTCTGAATTCTCTTCTGTTTCATATTTTGTTTCATTTGCTATGTGGTGCTCCCCCTTCCGATTCCAAGCAATTCCGACGGATCTTGCTGGGGATGAAGATGGTTTCCTGTTCTAATTTGTTGTGTTATGGTTATTCTTGAGATGCGGTGGGAACTAGTGCTCTGCTGCTTTCCGTTTCTCTTCATTTCCGATCTCTAATTCTGTTGCTGCTCCTGATTTTTGTGACAGAAAAAGGAAAAGAGACAATGGATGCAGCAGGGACGCGGTCGAGGTATTGGTGTTACTCGTGTCATCAAATGGTGAACCCGATCAGGGAAGTTGAGGATGTCAAGTGTCCTCTCTGCCAAGGCGGGTTTGTGGAAGAAGTTGATGGTGGTGGTGGTGCCACAGATGCTCATGCTCATGACCCTGATTCAGACTTCTCATCCGATCGCAACCTCTCCCTCTGGGCACCCATTTTGCTTGGCATGATGGGGAACACGAGACGTCAAAGAAGGTTCCGGAGAACAGATTTTGAGGAAGATTATGATTACAGCGACGAGGACGGTGAAGCTCGCCGTGGAGGAGAGGTAGACAATCACCTAGACCGTGAACTTGAATCCATCATAAGGAGAAGGAGACGCAGCTCTGCTGCTATCTTGCAACTGCTTCAGGGACTTCGGAGTGGAACCGAGAACTCTCTAGGAGACTCCGATAGAGAGAGAGCAAGATACCGAGACAGGGAAAGATACAGAGACCGAGACCGAGACCGATACAGGGACAGGGAGAGAGAGCGAGTTATCTTGATCAACCCTTCCAATGAAGCAATTATGGTTCATGGTTATGATTCGAATGACAATGGAGAAAGCCTGAATGAGACTCACATTGGGTCATTGGGTGATTACTTTGTCGGACCTGGTCTAGATTTGCTGTTGCAGCACTTAGCAGAGAATGATCCAAATAGGTACGGGACTCCACCTGCACAAAAGGAGGTGATCGAGGCACTGCCCACGGTGCTAGTGAAGGAGACGGTGCAATGCTCTGTGTGTTTGGATGACTTTGAGATTGGCAGTGAAGCAAAGGAAATGCCATGTAAGCACAAGTTCCACAGTGGGTGCATATTACCATGGTTGGAGCTTCATAGTTCTTGTCCAGTATGTAGGTTTCAGCTTCCGACAAACAAGTCTGCGTTTGATCCTGTGAGTGAGGCAACAAACCATGGCGGCAGCAACAACAATGAGGGAAGTACTAGCCATGAAAGCAGTGGTGAAGAGGCAGAAGGGGAAGGGAGAAATGAAGGAGGAAGAAGGTTCTCTTTCCCGTGGCCTTTCAGTGGGTTGTTTTCCTCTCCAAATGCAAGCAATTCGTCAGCAACCCCTTTGTCTCCTTCGGCAGCAAATACACGTGGGTCCGGAACAAACTCTTCTGAAACGTACGAGAATTGAGTGCATTTCTCATAATCAAAACTGGTCTGGTTGGATTTGTGTTGATGTCAAATCTTTGTTGTTTGCTTGAACAATTGGCTTGTCAGTAATGTAAATACACGCATAATTGGAAAGGATGATGGTGTTATTGATCCGTCAATAAAGCTGCTTGAAAGTTGGGTGAATGACAAATGAGTGGAGGTTGTCTTGTAGGGAATCCATCACCTGCCCACTTGACCCTTTTATTTGATAGGACCCGTTAAGGTTAGTACCCTACACTCTTTGTCTTTCAGCGAGCGTGTTGAATTAAATGCTAATGTTGTCGTATCTCACGGCCTGCCGGAGGAAGGCATCCCCATTAGCCATTACCAGCAGCGAAACTAAAGGCCCGGCCGGCTGGCTATTCAAACAGGCTTCCTGGAGAGATCAGGCATCATGTGGCAAGTAGTATCAGAGACAGAGAGGTCCCTATCCCCATCTACTATTCCTAATCCCATCCAGGTACCAGGGTTGTGGCATACCACCTAGCCCTCAATCCCACAACTTCCAACCAACCAACCTTCCTGTCACTCAAGCAGAACTTTTTTATAAAATCTGGGACCAAGTTTAGCAAACAAAATCTTGAAAGATGAGATAATTACCCGGAGCCAACACCGATTCATAATCAAACAAAACCAAAACGCACATAAGTTCAGAGAAGTGGACACTGTTATCATCGTTTTCAGAGTATCCGAAGCATTTAAAAATAATCATTTGGTTCCCAGTGTCTAGATATAAAGGGAAACAATCGCCATTGTCCAACCAATCAAAACAAGTAAACACAAACATAGGCTATATGACTGCCCAAATTATTAGCAGTATCCGCTCTTCAAACCTCTCTGTACCAAGTTACTGAAACCCAAACACTTACTTGACCGTTATGATCTTGATCACCGAAGCTGTTCCAACCCGGTGCAGAGCCACAACAGAATCCCCTGTCTTGCAGAGTCCCTTCAACTTGGCATGCTGAACAGCAAAATCAAGAGCTTCCTCCGTTGTCTCCTCATGAGAAGCCCTAGCTGAGCCAGCATACAGAACCGGGACCAACCCACGGAAGATCAGGCTATGCCTTGCAGGAGCTTCATCACTGCACGACCAATCGAATGAATCGGTCTTTATCTCGGGTACAACCACCGACAGAATCGGCATCCCAGGCCTATATTTAGCGACCAGCTTTGCAGTACTCCCTCCCCTGGTGAGCACCAATATGATGGATGCTTTTGCTGAATTTGCTGTTCTCACTGCAGAAGAGGCTAAGCTCTCTAATGGGCTCATGGGGACAGGTGAGTGCTGCATTATTCTTTTGAACACATCTCCATAGTCCAGCGTGCTCTCTGCTTCCACACATATCTTAGCCATGGTACGGACAGCTAGTTCGGGATATGCTCCCGCAGCTGTTTCGCCACTCAACATGACACAGTCAGTTCCGTCAAGAACCGCATTTGCAACATCGGTGGCCTCGGCTCGGGTTGGTCTGGGGGACTTGATCATGGATTCCAGCATCTGAGTTGCAGTGACTACTGGTTTTCCTTGGATGTTGCACTTGTAGATCATTACTTTCTGCGCCAGAAAGATCTTTTCAATTGGAATTTCCATTCCGAGATCACCACGTGCCACCATAAATGCATCTGTATTGGCTAAGATGTCATCAAAATTCGCCACACCCTCTTGATTTTCAACCTAACCAAAACCACAAATAAAGGAAAAGCTGTTAACACTGCGAAAGGAAACAATCTTGTCTGCTCTCTCCCTATCCCGAAGTCCATAAATTTACTGCCTATAGAAACTGCAGGCAGCAAACTGTACTGTCCAAACAGCAAGATTATCATAAGTAATCGTGTACATGAATGTGCTGTGCTATTACACAATACATACTCACCTTTGACATAAGGAGGATATTCTTGGCATGAGGTCCTAGCAACTTCCGCACCTCCACAAGATCAGAGCCCTTTCTAACAAAAGAAAGAGCTATCATGTCGATTTGATTTGGAACTCCCCACTTCATGATATCTTCCTTGTCCTTCTCTGTCAATGTAGGAAGATCAACTATGACACCAGGGAGATTAACATTCTTCCTCTCACCAAGGACGGCAGAGTTTTCACACCGGCACTTAACCAACCCTGCTGCTTTGTCACATGATAAGACAGTGAAGGAGATTGTGCCATCGGAACAGAGAATCACCATCCCGGGCTTGACATCTTCAGCCAACTTTTTGTAGCTCATGCATATCGTATTCTCATCGCCCTTTATGGAATAGTCGGTCGATATGGTGATTTCCTGACCCTGCTTTATTTGGATAGGTTTACCATCCTTGAGGAACCCAGTTCGGATTTCTGGACCCTGTGAGATCATAAGAAGCAAGCACATCAACGGGATGGCATCGTATGTTGATGGACATAATACAATGATTACCGACAAGCACTCAAGTAAACCTTCATTCTACCAAGACCCGACAAATAACAGATAATGAATTAACAGACTAGCAGGATACAAGAGTCTATCAACTACCACTCAAGAAACCAAACATGAAACTAAAATCCTTCCAACAACAGAATCTGAAATTGCGAACGTAGCAGGAGCCAAAAGTCATACAAAATTGAGTAAGAGCATTTGCTTTATAATAATTAGAGAGGCAATACAATTTTGAATCCAGGCTGAATTAGGTTTGCGAAAAAGCGGATCAAGTATCCCGCATAACGCGGATAACGAAAAGGATCTTAGGGCATCACTGATGTAAGTCGTTTTGTAGTTTTTTGTCTTGTACCAACAGCAACAGTAAATTGAAACCAGAAGAAAAAAGGGACGATCGGCGATCAAGAGGTAAGAGGGAAAGAACCTTGGTGTCGAGCATGACGGCACAGAGGATTCCGGTGTTGGCCATGGCGGTGCGGAGATTGTCGAGAGTCTCCTGGTGGTACTCGTGAGATCCGTGAGAGAAATTGAAGCGGGCGACGTTCATGCCGGCGCGGAGGAGCTTCTCAACCATGGGCACGGATCTGGAGGCCGGGCCCAGCGTGCAGACGATCTTCGTCTTGGGCCGCTTCTCCATATGCGAGGGCGGAGCTGCGTTGTTGCTCGTGTCACTCACCATCTTATTTCCCCTTGGAATTCAGAGATCTGTGGAATGGAGGAAGAAGAAGACAACGACGAAAGTAGGGATGGGACGGACGGAAGGCGTGGGGAGAATAAAGGAACCAAAATTATTATATGGAAAATGGAATAGAACGGAGGATAATATCGTCAACTCATTTCTTTGTAAACGCATTAAGAGATGGTTTGGCCGTGGTAATTGAGGGGTAGTTTAAGTTGCGAATGTTAAATCGTTGTATTGTAATGAATCACTATAATATAAATGAATGTATTGATATAATGTATACATTTTAACAATACATTGTTTGGTTGTTGAGATTTTACTTTGTGTATTGATTTACATAAAGTGATTTTTATGGGGAAATGTCACATTTAACCTCAACTTTTAGAATAAGACAAAAACTATTGGGGATATAAATGGAAAGAAAAAGTTGACACAAATCTAAAACCAACAATCACAACAATCTCAACTTTTAGTTGAGATTGTATAATGCATCATTTTTTGTGATTGTTGGTGGGACCTACCTAAAACAATGCATGCATTGTTTAACACTTTGGCACTTCCAAACATTGTATTGTGCACAATACATGTATTCAACAAACACAACTCTAACAATCACAAATTCCAAACGACCCCTGAAAAACGTGAAAATTGGAGTAAATTTTCATGATTTTCAATTTTCAGTAATTGTCACTTGGAGATAATTAATATTTTCATGTTTGGCTAGGTCTTTTGAGTGTGGGAATGTGGAAGTGGTTTTTGTGGTGCTAAACAAACAAATACCAAATTGTTCCTTGTGGAAGGATATATTAGGTACCTCTTATGTCCATTATTGCAGTTTCTTCTTCTTTTCCCAACAGCAAACAACCTTCCCAATTTCATCCAGAGTAAAGATTTCCTCCCCCTGAAGTTCATTTTCTTTCAAAGCTTCTCACAGTAAATGCTTCCTCCTCATAGAAAAGTGAAAGCTAATCGCATGCAGACAAATTAGTGAAGCAAAGTTAATTAGCGCTGCAAAACAAAACAAAACAGAAGTTTGAAACAAGAGAAGTGTTGATGCATGATATTTGTACATAATAGCAAAAGAACAAGGTTGCTAAGCTAGTGCAGCAAAGCAACAATGTAGACAAAGTGAAAGCTAATCGCATGCAGACAAATTAGTGAAGCAAAGTTAATTAGCGCTGCAAAACAAAACAAAACAGAAGTTTGAAACAAGAGAAGTGTTGATGCATGATATTTGTACATAATAGCAAAAGAACAAGGTTGCTAAGCTAGTGCAGCAAAGCAACAATGTAGTTGAGCTAGTTGCATTCCTAGTGTGACGTACATGAAAAGAAGGTTCAAAAATGAGCTAATAGCGATTAGCAACCACTTGCCGTCTACGCGTCGGATTCAGTGTGGACAGTCTCGACATCCTTGATAAGGATAACAAAATAAATTCAATCAACTACCAACACCAAAATATCAACAGTCAGACAAATAAATTATCTCAAACCTAAGCAGTCTAGTTCTGTATACCTTCAGCCAAAGAGAAAAGGGTATACAAAACCCTAATTATTTACCATTACAAAACCACCTAATTTAACTACGAACCCAGCAATAACGAGAAAGCACCTGATGATGCATGATGGTTTCCTCTCGACTCCTGCTTGCTGGTGCTATTGGGAGACTAGACCTGGTTGGTGAGAGCCCTTCTTGTCGCCTTCTTTTGTAATCCTCTGGAACAGAAAAAAGAAAAGAGCAAGATATGTGGTGAGGAAGAAGGATAACGTGTAAAGTGGTGTATAAAAGACAAGAGGGCCAGGTTTGGAATTCCCATAAAATACAGGGGGCGGTTTTTCAATTTTCACATATGTGGGAATGTGACCAAATGGGGATTGCTATTCGCCGCCCTAAAAATCTTTATTCGTCACCCTAATTATATAAAATTTACTCTAATGCCCTTAACTTTTTTTTTGTCTTTCCAACATTTAAACGCTAATTTTACTTTTGTCGCCCTAACTTTAAATATAGAATTACTAAATAACCAAATCAAATTAAAAAAAATCGGAAATCCCTAATCTTCATCATCTCAACGAGAGCAACATCACTCTTCAAAGCACCTCCACCGCCAGGAACTAGCTTGCACTCTAAACCCAATCCGCTTGATTGTGATCATGATCAAGTTGCAACCACCGTGGCATCCAGAGCAATGAGCCCCAGAAATCACAGCCACAACCTTCCTAATCTTCTCCATGGCTGCAAATACACTCCTTCAGTGAACATTTTTTTATTCTCTAATGAAAAAATTAAAAGCTTTTCAAGACCCAATTCTGGGGACAATATAAAGAGAAAAACAACAAAAATGCCTTTCATTTATGTGCGATGTGGCGGAAGAATGGGTTGGGATTAGATAGATGGAAGGCCAAGGAAGAAGCTCTGTTTCTCTGGCGGAATGGGAGATGCGGCAAGTTGCGTGAACAACGGCGGCGACCAGAATTTGGCTGGTGGGGGAAGTTAGGGGTTGAGGATTGAAATTGGAAATAAGGGTATAAACGTCAATGTAGTATGATTTAGGGCGAAATTTTTTAAATATTAGGGCGACGAATAGCAATTCAGGACCAAATTCCTTGGGCCCAATTTTCACATACTTTTAGGCTATCCAAAAATGGAATTTTAGCATGAATATTGCATTATGTGGTAATTTGGCCTAATTCCCACACTCAATTGCTACATCCAAACGACCTCTAAGTCTGATTCTCTTATAGGGGGTGTTTGGATGAGAAAATCTAATGAGTCAATCTAACATTATTGTCTCAAAGACAATTATGTTAGATCGACTAGTTTGGCAGCACAAAATTTGAATGAAGCAATTTGGCTTGGCGAATTCTGAATTGACTCATTTTGAGGCAATTACAATTGTTTAGGATGGGGGTAAATAATTCGAATTGACTCGTTTTAAATTACTCATTTCTTAATAATTGGTTAAATTGCCTCTTTTGCAAATGTGTGTATGTGACTAAATGAACCTCATTCCTTTAAAACATTTAAATCAGATAGTTGATATTAACCTACTTAATGAAAGGTAATGTAGTAATTGAATGACTTTTAATTTGTAATCATTAAATAATTTAATAAATCCCTCCACCAGCTAGGAATTTTACCCCGTCCCGTCCTTTTCACTGTCCGGAGGAAGTGGGAACTTTGCAATTCCCCACCTTCAGTTACGAGAGAGAGATTTTCTGACGATGTTTTTCCGACAACATTTTTCGACGACGACAGAGGAGGCTTTTCGGCGATTGGAGATGACGAATGAGAATTTTGCAGTGCTAGTGCGGGATTTGTGATGTTTATCAACGAACCTACTTTGTAATGATTATAAGTTCGGTTTGTAATGTTTATATCAATTTTGGTTTGTATTATTTGTTATTTATTATGTTTGTTATGTTTCTATGACAAATTTGTATGCATTGTAATTTGTAATGTTTGTTTATCTACATTGTATACTTTATTTTATGATTTGTATATTTTGTATTCGTTGATTTGTAATACAAGGTTACTTATTTGTATCTAGGTAGTAACATTATGTATTCTTATTACGTTTTGTAATGTTTGTCGATTTGTTTTGTACTGTTTGTAATCTATGTTATTCCTGTAATGTTTGTCGTGTTCTTTTCTAATGTTTGTAAACTTTGTTATTTTTGTCCAACATATTTGTCATTTTTGTCAACCATGTTTGTAATGTTTTTATGTCTAAAAAGCAACCTGACTGACTTTTGAACGGAAGTACTCTATATAGAGATGAAGTTTCCAAAGTCAACCTGGCTATTTTTCCATTTTGTATGGTTTTTCGGTCTATTTTGTCATTTTGTCCACCATATTTGTAATGTTTGTATATCTAGAAAACAACCGGGTTGACTTTGAGACGAAACCCTCTATATAGGGATGGATCTTCCAAAGTCGACATGGTTGTTTTTTTTATTATTATTTTGTATGGTTTGTATTGTTTGTAAATCTGTTTGTATGTTTTGTTGTTCAAGTTTGTATTGTTTGTATTGTTTGTACTATTTGTAAATCTGATTTGTATACTTCGTAATTTTTCATAATACTCAAATTACCCCTGTTACTAATTAAAAGTCACTTTCCACTTTTAACCGTTAGATTGATGTGTCCACATCTAAGGGTTAGGAGGGGTTTAGTCAAGTGACTAATGACCCCCTTAATCATGGGATCCACTCTCCATTTTGCTATGCAGAATGATAAAAGGTTGGTAGGTTATTTGATAACCCTAATTAGTAAATTAATCAATAATTGATCATTTTGTAGTGGAATCGTTTCGATTGTGTTAACCAATAATCGCCTACTAATATAACTACATAGCTGCAGGCTTTGACTAAGGAGAAAAGTTTCAAGATTCGAAATCAACCAAAAGTTGCAATTCCAAACATCTCAATTCACACCTATTTTAAATAACCCTCCACCTAAAGTCTCAAATATGTTTAAAAGTCAGAACCCCAAATTCACCCCTTTATAACTCTCCTTTACAGTCGACCGATCGAACCTCGCACCTTAATAGTATTTTTTTCAGTGTTGTTTGTGAATGATTATTGTTTATGTCTCGCTGGGGGTAGAAGGGAGACACTGAGTATTAGTTAGGGTGTTTGAGTAGGATTTGCAAGTGACGCGCCAAGAGATATATTATTATAAAGCCAGACCGGATAGGTAACAGAGAGAGAAAGTGTAGATAGAGAAAGTTAGAGAGAGAATGGTTTTTGTCTTTATGGTCGATCTCTTTCTCTCCGTAGTAAATGTTGTATTTATATGCCCGTTGTGGTAGGTGAAGCGTACATACGATGGGACGTGTTGTCAGGTTCTGTCCTTGTCCCGATAGAGAAACGCGTGTTTGGGGTTCTCCAGGCGCGGCTACTCGACGCGCGACAACTTAGTCTCTTCCCCAAACAGGAGCTAGTCCTTGGACCGGTCTCCGCTGGTTGCGGTTTTAGCGCATACGTTTGAAATTTCGTGCGGCCGACGATGCGGAACGTAGCGCGACTTTGAGGCGCAGATTGCTTGCGTGCGTTTAGCGTTCCAAAATGACGCGTGTACTTGTTGTACACGCGTCACGTTTGGGTGTGACGGGTTTATGCCCCCCTAGCGGAGATAGGTCCTAGGAGTAGCTTCTGCTGAGGTTGGAATATGAAAAAACGGCTGACAACACGCTTCTGCTTCACTTTGCCACGTGTCGTCTTGCTGTTGGCTTGCGCGTGCGGTGTTTTTGAATTTCAAAAATTTTGGCGGCGAGATTGTTGTTTCTGAGGTGGCTGCAATCAAACTCCGGATTGCGATTCGACGTATCTCCTGTTTCTCGATGCGTCATCCAACGGTTCGCTTTCTTTCTTTCGCTAGTATATAAATGGGATCTAAGTCGATTGTGTGTTTCATTTCTCCTCTTCCTTCTTTCATTTTCCGACGATCGTGTTCTTTCTCCTTCTTTTTGGACCCTTTCCTCTCGATTGCTTTGCTCCTGTGTTGTGCATGATGGCTGAGGAGAAGAAGGCGGCAGAGGTTGTGGTCGACTTCGACGAAGAAGGTAACATGCTCAATCTATCTTACTCGTTTTTTGATTTGTCTGGTTTGGATGGTCAATTGTTCGGTGGGGAGTTGCCGCATACGCCCTCTTTCGGATCTGGTGGTGGTGCCGATATTTTACACAACGCATCCGACGAAGGTAAGCGGTGTGATCGGTCGCGCTAACGTGGTCCTCCGGATACGTAGTTCCATTGTATGTTGGGAGTGCGGGTGGTACTCCGTTGATCTGCTCCATCATGATGTCTGCACTGAGAGGTTGTCGGATCACAGGCTTTCACGGCGCTCGGTAAAGAGGTGAGAGGTGTTGCTCCAGAAAGTCTAAGTTCGCCCTCGGCCTAGGTTCTTGGCTTTGTGGCGCGCTGTGTTCGGCTTCCTTTCTCGCGGGAACGGGGTCTGGTATCCCACTATCCGTCGATGCGTCTCCTCCGGTGATGAGGGCTAATATCTGGCTCATCTGTCCCTGTATCTCTGTCACCGCGCGGTTGTTGTGTGCCATCTGCGTGCGCATTTCCTTTGCTGACATGTCTGGTTCCTCCTCTATTAGCACCGTATTGAAATCGCTGGTGGACTCGAAGACCTGCCTGTCTGTTACGCCCTTTAATGGGGTCTTCTGATCCGTTGTTGGGCTCTGGTCCACTTGTGTCACCTTCATTGCTTGCTTGCCAGACATACTCAAGCCACACGGTGGGCGCCAATTGTTTATGTCTCGCTGGGGAGTAGGAGGGAGATGATAACGGATACAACAGTGGGTTGTTAGCCCACGTCTCCATTCCCCACTTCTCTCTATTCTGTTCCTAAACTTCAGCTCACTACCGTTTCTTTCCCTCCTGTAAACCAGCACTCTGTTATTCCTTTGTACTATAAGTAGAATGATCAATAAGACCAACACAAGCATTGCAACATTCACATGGTATCAGAGCGCATTAAACTCAAACGAGTCTGATTTTTTTTCCCCTTCTTCTTCCTTTGACATCTTGCTGCCATGTCTACTGATTCCTCTGCTTCCTCCACCACCATTGCCTCTTCCTCGTCTTCTCAATCCCCTACCATGTCTCTTCCCTCCAACCCACAGCTCACTGTCAAACTTTCCCCCTCTAATTACCTCCTTTGGCTAACTCAACTTCTCCCATTGCTCCGATGCTTTCGCCTCCTAGGGCATGTTGATGGCACATCCCCGGCGCCGCCCACACACCTTGACGGCCAGCCCAATCCTGCCTACTCCGCCTGGTATGAACGAGATCAGATGGTCCTCATGTGGATCTCTCTCTCCCTCTCTGAAGCTGTCCTGCCCAACATCATCAACAAACACACCGCCTTTGATGCCTGGTCGGCGCTCGAGCGCATCTATGCTTCGGGTTCCGCCGTTCAAATCCGACAGCTTCGCGGCTCCATTCATAAGCTCAATCGCGGAGACTCCAAGATCCACGACTATCTTCAAGACGCCAAGAAGACTGCGGATTAGCTAGCGGCTCTCGGCGCTCCCGTTAACAATGACGAATTCATCGCGGCTATCATGGACGGCCTCGGCGAAGAATATCGCCCCTTCACCCGCCACATTGAAGCCCGTCATGAACCAATCTCCTTTGAAGATCTTCATTCTCTGCTCATCAGTGAAGAACTCCAGCTTCGCCGCTACCAGTCCCCGTCGGCGTCACCCTCGGCGTTCCTTTCTGCTCGGGGGCGTGGCGGGGGCCGCTCTCGCGGTCGATACACGCGCGGCGGAGGTGTGTCTCGCTACTCCCAAATCTCCTCGTCTTCTGCAGGTGTATTGGGCCCGAGCCCGTCTCAGCAGCACCGTCCGGCCCACATGGCAGCCCGTAGCGATCCCTGACCCTCCTAACCCGCCCGCGCCACCATCGCAACCCTCTGCCCCCTCCGCCTCTGCTCCTGTTACTCCATCTCCCACCACAAAATTACCCCCAACCATACCTATTCCCTCCCGACCGCGCTTCACCACTTCCCCCCATCCTCTGCCACAATCTCTTCGCAGCCCCATCATCACCCGAGCCAAAACAGGAAACCTAAAACCGAAGACCTTTGCTGCCGCCATTGCGGACGAACCCACCACTGTCGCACAGGCACTCCGCGACCCCCTCTGGAATGCCGCCATGCGTCAAGAGCGGGATGCTCTTCTCCGCAACAAGACCTGGGATCTCGTACCCAGACCTCCGAATTGCAACCTCATCACCAACAAATGGATCTGGCGCAACAAACTCAATCCCGATGGCACGCTTGAACGGCGCAAGGCGCGTCTTGTCGCTCGAGGTTTTCAGCAGGTATAGGGCAGAGATTTTACACATACGTACAGTCCGGTACTGAAACCGGCCACTCTCCGGCTGGTACTGGGCATCGCGGTCACCAATGGGTGGCCTCTTCACCAACTGGACATCTCCAACGCATTTCTCCACGACGAACTGACCGACGAAGTCTACATGGCCCAACCAACTGGGTTCATCGATCCCGACTACCCAGACCATGTCTGCCGCCTCAAGAAATCCATCTACGGCCTCCGCCAGGCCCCCCGCACTTGGTTTCAATGTCTTGCTCGGGCTCTGCACAACTTCGGCCTCATTGCATCCAAAACAGACCCCTGCCTCTTCATCTATACCTCCGGCCAATCTCACCTTTACATGCTTGTGTACGTTGATGATATTGTGATTACAGGTTCTGATCAAGCACTCCTCAACCGACTGCTGGATCATCTCCATCAACACTTTGCACTTCGTGACCTCGGTGACCTGACATACTTCCTCGGCATTCAAGTCATCCGCCACTCCGACGGGATCACCCTCAGCCAGCGGAAGTTCATCCTTGAGCTCCTCCACCGTGCCCATATGGAGAATGCCAAACCAATCTCAACTCCTTCCACTGCTGACATTGTCACCAACAGTGCGCTTGATTCATCACCGAAATTTGCCGATCCCAGTCTCTATCGGGGCATTGTCGGCGGACTACAATACCTCAGCTTCACCCGCCCGGACATCTCCTTCGCCGTCAATCAAGTCTCTCAATATCAACATGATCCGTCCGACACCAACTGGGCTGCGGTCAAGCGTATTCTACGCTACCTCAGAGGCACCCTCGATCAAGGTCTATGCATCAGCCACTCCGCCTCCTCCAACATACACGGCTACTCCGATGCATCTTGGGCGTCCTGCCCACAGGATCGCAAATCCATCACCGAGTTTGCAGTGTTCTACGGATACAACCTCATCTCCTGGTCCACTCGCAAACAGCAATCCGTTGCCCGATCCTCCACGGAGTGTGAATACCGAGTGCTTGCCACCGTTGCCTCTGAGGTCATCTGGCTACAATCTCTCCTCACTGAACTTGGGCAACCTCTCCGCCAGTCTCCAATTTTATGGTGCGACAACCTGGGTGCCACCTTCCTTGCCCACAATCCGGTCTTTCATCACCGTTCCAAGCACATGGAAATCGAATTTCACTTTGTCCGTGATCGGGTACATAAGAAACAGCTACGGGTCCACTATCTTCCAGCTCAAGACCAAATCGCCGATGTCCTCACCAAACCACTACCTCGTCCCTCCTTCCTCCGGTTCTGTGACAAGTTCCGCCTTTCCTCGGCTTCACTTGCGGGGGCGTGATAACGGATACAACAGTGGGTTGTTAGCCCACGTCTCCATTCCCCACTTCTCTCTATTCTGTTCCTGAACTTCAGCTCACTACCGTTGCTTTCCCTCCTGTAAACCAGCACTCTGTTATTCCTTTGTACTTTAAGTAGAATGATCAATAAGACCAACACAAGCATTGCAGCATTCACAGGAGACACTGAGTATTAGTTAGGGTGTTTGAGTAGGATTGGCAAGTGACGCGCCGAGAGATATATTATTATAAAGGCGGAACGGATAGGTTACAGAAAGAGAAAGTGTAGATAGAGAAAGTTAGAGAGAGAATGGTTTTTGTCTTTATGGTCGATCTCTTTCTCTCCGTAGTAAATGCTGTATATATATGCCCGTTGTGGTAGGTGAAGCATACAACTTGAAGTTGTACCTTTAACGTTATGGTACAACTTCAGATTGTACACATACTCTTTTGTACAATTTTTTTTTATAGTACAACTTAAGCTTGTATTTTCATGTGATGGTGCAACTTTAAGTTATAAAGTTGCACCATAATATAAGAGTACAAATTCTTTTATGGTACAGCTTTAACTTATACATTTAACATTATGGTACAACTTTAAGTTGTACATTAAAACATCAATACTTTACAGTATAGTAGAAGTGTTATAAATATAAAAATGTGAAATAAAAAAACTAATTTATCTTCTTCCTTTCTCCTCGCTAGTGCTCCTCCGCCAGCGACGAAATTTTATCCCGACTTCGGACTTGGTAACGCCGCCGGGTACGACAGAGGAAAGCTAGCGGCGGCGGATCGATGGCGCATTTGAATCAAAGCCGGTCGTCGTTGCCTTGTCTTCTCCACCACTTATCTTCCGCCTTCTCACTTCCCCAGGAAGAGAAAACGTGAACAAGTTTTAGAATAAAACACAGGCTTTTTCTTCCGACATCCTCATTTTCTCACCGTCCCTTTTCTTTTTAGCTGGATTTCGTTTATCTTGCTGCCGAGATTTCTCTTTTTCCCGCCATTGATGATGCGTTCGACCAGTGCTTTCCTCATTTTCCTGGGCTTCTTCTACTATCTGTTTTGAGCCTGAATGAATTTATTGAATTTTTGGAGATGCTAATTAACTTATCTATTCTGTTGGATCACTTGGGAGTTGGGAGCCTTTAAGTCTCCATAATGGAATAGTGTCATTTTCAGTGCATACTCCTAAATAGATTGAGTCTCCGTGTTCGAGGACATCTGCGAGAGGATCTCAAAATTGGGGATGAAAATGAGGATTCCCTAAAAAATGGGGAGATGTGTGCTGGTGGGCGGGACAACCGCCACGCCACCTGATTTGTTTTCTTTCTTACAAGATATTAGGGGTTAATTGAGGCTTAATTATGAGTTTAATTAGATCAATAATTTTCAAGTGTTATGCGTACAGAAAAATTAGGTCAATCATTCGTTGCCAAAAAAATTCGGTCTCAAAATTGAAAAAAATCTGATTGAAATTTTTTTAAATAAAAATGATGACGAGCTATACAAAAATTAACATGAACAAATTATATTAAGATCATAAGTACATTTTTAAGTAAAGAAAAAATATGAAAATGAGGATCATCCCCAAATTTAGAGATGGTAGAATTGGAGCAACAATGATGAAAATGTGGATCATCCCCAAATTTGGAGATAAAGGCCCCCAAATTTGCGGACTAGCATTGAAGTTGGTCTAATAAGTTCATTCTGAGCGACATACAACATATGTAATGCTTATTTGGGAGGTTGAATTCGTTCATTTGTTTAGCATATAGATAGATAAGTGGTCGAAGAAGACAAGGCAACGGCAGCCAGCTTCGACTCAAATGCGTTGTCAATCTATCGCCGCTAGCTTTCCTGGGTCGTACTCGGAGGCGTTGAGGTCAAAACACACGTTCGGCCAAATTAGTCTACATAGTGTATAGTTGACATCAGAATAACAATTTCTAAAACCAATTTCTAAAACCACAGGTTAAAGTAGTAAACTATCTGGATATAACCCAAAACAAATGAGACCACATATATTATGGCTCACCTAGAAACCTAGAAATACGATGGAATGGACTGAGTTTCTTTTATTAGATAGGCATGCTGAAGATGGACAGTGGACATACCCCAACTCATGATTAATACAAAATTTACAGGGTCGTAATAGAAAAATGTTTATGAAAACAATAATGCACGAAACCTAAACTAAAAGGAAATGAACATGTAAAATTACAGCTAAGGTTTTCTAAAAAAACAGCACAACAAAAATACACTACAACCTATAAAACCACTAACAAGTAAATAATACGACTACCTAGTAATTACACGATTTGATGACAAACATCTTCTTTCTTCAGTCCTTAATCCCAAATGCAAGTGTTTCATTTCACTTCTAAACCAAATATGCTTTTACAAGTTACAAGTTCAATTTTCCACAGATGTATGGCAACAGCTGAGTGGCATGTTTGAAAATTTTCATTTCAATGAAAAGGTCTCACACAACTCTGCTCATCACATAAAGCCAAGCCTAATAGATTGAGCATCCTACAATTATAAAAGCTTTCACATGCACCTTCTTCACTGATATATTAGCTCGGCCTGATGTCAGCATGAGTAAACCCCAAATAGTTTGCTTGTGATCCTCGAACCCTATCACAGTTCATCATGCCCTTGTGGTTGTTCTTTGTTCATCATCTCCAGTTTATCCTCGAACTCCTGCGACCATTTCTCACACATCTGGGATCAGATTCCACTGCCTAAGAACAAACTCACTTAAAAAAGATTCAGGTCATATTTACCTTGATCTTGATTTCCAAGCAGAGAGCTGGAGTAGCAAAAAATGCTACATACCTGCCATGAAAAGAATGCCTAGGAGTTAGTTACTTGGTCCAAAATTAAGTTATCGTTTTCGCCACCAGATACGGAAAGAGACAGGTCCTTACTCGCAACGGCTTGGTTCATCTACATCTGCAACCTCATTCTTAGCTCCACACCTTAGCCTGACCTGTGACGTACAGGAGACATATATATGACAGTTAGTTTGCTGAAAATAATTGTACCTAGTGCAGACAGTCGACAGTTCTGATCGTGTTTCATCAGTATGGACCCAATCGCACATGTAATCATTCATTGTAAGTGGAGAAATTCGAACAAAGTAGAGACCACAGAGTCAATTATAATTTCTTTCAGCATGGTTTGGATGATGCCTGCTGACTACAAACACAGGATGAAAATCGAGATACTTCTCTAATAACTTATTTCCATTGAAGGACATAGGAAGCAGACCCATTGACTTTTGTTCACAACACAACCAGAGGTCCCAAAAAAACTTGACACACACCTTTAAACTTCTATCAGGCCCGTTCCAGCACTTATCACCATTTGAAAACATCATAGTCCGGTAAGAGTCCTCAAACTTGTCCCAGCGTCTACACATTCATCCAAGAGAAACCACCAGCAAAAAGTAGAAAATAGCAGTTTAAGCTCATTATCATGACCAACTAGCATAAATGCGGCCATGTCTTACAACTTTATTTATTTGTAAGGAACGCATCATAGCTTTTGAGCGTGTGCCAAACAAATGGACGACCAATCCTACCCCAAGGTAGTTGAAGAGTGCCCTTCCACCTGCGAAGCTTGTTTGAATGGACAGATTTTGTATATATACCTGAAAAATTGCGCTCACAAAGAAAAATACAATTTCAAATGCCACAGTTGTATACAACATACCTGTATACTAAATACTAAAAGGACACCAAATGCAAAATGTGAAATCCCCCTCCTCTGCTATACAACTTTATTTATTAGTAGCAAGGTTTCCTTACTTGTCTTGCTTGCCCTCGAAACAGTTTCCATACAACAGATAGAACTCTTTCTCTGGTCCTGCATTCAAATTTCATGGTAATTCTTGCAGCATAAGGTTACGCTCGCTTTGGACAGGAGCAGGTAAAACACTATCCAGAGGTATGTCCTGTAGTAATACACTTACCAAAATCATGTTTCAGTTTCTTCGACAAACTTGAAATCCTTGACTCTATTTTTGACAACTTTGAACTGGCTTCGTCATATTCCTTCCTCACACGATCAGCCTCTAAAGAAGCCAGAAAAGAAGGATTGGAACATTCAACTTTGTCAAAGGCATGCATAGCTACGATTTAAAAAGGAAATACAAGGAAACATAGCAGCAAGGCACCTGATTTATCCACAGGAGTTTGAAATAAATTAACAGCCTGAAGAACACTCTGAACGGTCTGTTGTATCTTCTCCAACCAAGATGTACTACTCGGTCTTGTTGTGTCTGTAAATGAAGTTTGTCAACCATCAAAAACTATACCTAGCCAATGAAGGAAATACAGCTTCAGTAGCAAGACACAAGACTATCATAGAGGACTGGTTTTAAACCTAAAGAATCTAGTTCATCATCAGATTCAGGTTTATATGAAGAAATATCATCGTTGTGGTTGTCCCCTTCATGTGTATCATCTGTCTCATCTTCCACATCGACATCATCATATCTTCCAGTGTCATCAACATCATCGTCAGTTTCAGACGAATAACCACTGTCACCTTCACGATCGTTTGTATCAATTGCTGACCCCCCACTTTCTCCATGGTCTTCTTGATCATCATGCTTCGAATTTTCCACTTTATCTGTTTCCTGGTCGGAACTTCCTGTCCAGCGAGAAGCAACAAGGCGGCCAACCTCCTCCCTTGATAATTCTTCATTGTTTTCAGATAATTCATGCACCTAGAACCAAAGAGATCTACCAAATGTGAAAGTCTGACAGACTGCACCAGCCCCAGTCTATTACCAATGCTAACATTAAGGGTCAAAACAATATATGGGCCATAAACAGAATAATTCGAGCATATGGCATTGATAAATGAGTTTCAGAAACATATTCAGTTCCTGCCAAACAACAATAGAGCATCTTTAACTCTCTTCAGTAAATCCAACTATGAGCTCCAATTTATTTTGAACCGTTTTAAAAAGCATCCATCCTGACCTCCGACAGGACAAACAACTGATGTTCATGCCTCTAAAGGTTGCTTTTTTTGTCCCCATGTGGCAATTGTTACTTGCTTTCGGTCTAGCTTATGCAGGAAGCTATTTTTCCCACCCGAAGTTCTTTCGTACTTACCGTATGTAGCTTGACTTGGTTGTCCCAGTTCTGTTCCCAAATAAATTCTCTTGCTATCTCAGAACAGTCAACAGGAGGAGCTTGTGATGAAATTAGGTTCTTTTTCTGGTGACTTTTGGTCCTATCACACCTAACCCAGCTGTCAAATTATACAAGTTGGGGAAGAAGATAGGGACTCGTTGCTCCCATCATGGCCAGTCCCAGATGCAACTTGAGAATATTCCTTGCTTTGTGGTGAAACAGAGTCTCCTTCATTTTTCTTAACATGTTGGTGTACCAATTAATCTCATGTTCAGATAGGTCATGACGTTGACGTATAACTTTATCCAAAACAGCTTCAGACATAAAACATTACCTGTTTCTCTTCATTTACATTAGATCCTTCAGGTGTTGTGGTATCACCGTGCAAGGCTTCAGCCGCAGTTTCAGCATATTCCTGGAAATCCTGTTGCAGAAAATTAGAGTTAAAAATTACCAATAACAGTCTTTTAGCATTATGAATGGCTTATCATTTGGACGAAGGTCCACTGTCACTCAAAGAGTGTTCATTAGGCAGACACCTATTCATACAAACAACTGCATGAAATCCAGAAAAGGAAATTCACGAAGAGTACAATAGGACAATCAGAATTTACAGGCAATCCGCTTTTAATCGTAAACATGGATTTGCTCACATATACTTTCATGATTACCAAGGAAAATTTATAATGTATGTTACTAAGTAACCAGTAATCCCCTTTGGTGATGAGTACGAGAGGGATGAGGGGAAAAGTGGAAAAAAAAAACTGAAAATATAGAACCATGAATAAGTAGACAAGCTTAAAGAAGGTTTGAGAAGCTAAAAGAAGGTAGAGTCTCAGACTCTTGAGAAAAAAGTTATATTTCCTCAGTCAAAGGGTATGTGAATGATGTTCATGGTAGAGGAGGATGACAATGAAGATTCATGAAATTGACTCATTTAGTGGCAAGAAGTATACTTGCTTTTATAGAACACCACGATTAGCAGACAGGTGAGAAATCCTATTTGAACAAGGAGAATAATGAGCATGCTCATAGAAAGAAGAGATTGCACATTCAGAGTTACCTACGGTGCATCCATAGTTACCGGCCCCTATCTCAAACAACTAAGTCCCAATTCTACAATAAGAGAGCAAGATGCATGCAGAAAGAACAGATTGCACAATCCAACTGCGAAGCAAACAGCAAACTAATCTACCTGCTCAGCAGAATCATCCAAGATGCCAAATCTCTCGTCACCTGAACTCTGTGAGCCTTTCTCTGCACCATCCAATTTCTTCTGCTCAGCTTCTTTATCCCAATCTCCACTCTTCTCTCCGAGAGCCTTTTCTTCTGCTTCTTTTTTTTCCTTTTCTTCCTTTTCTTTCTGCAGCCGTTCTCTCTCTTCCGCTTTCTCGATTTGTTCCTTTCGGTCTATGGTAGTTTTGCCACCAGAAAAATTCAAGAACACTTAGCTCTACATACTTAAATGTTCTCAAATGTAGCAGGTGGTTCCCATTTTCCATTATGGCAGCGATATGGTGATGGACACTTTTTTGTGAAGGAGCAATTTCTAAGCGTAAGATAAAGTAAGCATTATTAGAAGTATACCTTTTAGTTGCTGAACAAGGCCTTTCAGTACACTCCCCTCGTTTTGAAGCTTTGTTAACTCCGCCTCATCTTTGGCAAATGCTATCTTTGCTTGCTCAATTTCCTGCTTTCTATAAGTCGCCCCCTCTTTATAAGTAGCAATCCTTTTCTTCAGTTTATCCCTAGCTGCTTTTCCAGCCTCCCAACATTTGTTCGTGCATTTGACTTGGCCATCATATTCGTCACTCCCATCACAGCAATCTGCATCAGCACATCAACAAAGAAATAAGGAGAAGTTTAGTCAGACCACAGTCAGGATCACAGGAAAGCTTCTAAAGTGAAACAACAACAAAACAATAAAAGAAATGCATCTACTTCACGAAACTATTACATTCATCGGAACTCCCTAATCGGGATCATTTCCATTTAGACTCAAACCAAGAGGAATATTAACTTTGTACTCTGTGTTTCCTAGGTGGAAAGGTAATATTAGTAGGTAAGTTAATGAAATTGAGGGAGGTTCAAAAAAGACTGATGGAATGAGAAATCATAGGCTAGATGGTTGAGGGTAATAAAAGGTATATGTACCAAGGGGTATCGATCAAAACACTCGGTCTTCAAAAGAAATGAATTTAGCGATTTCAGTTTCATACATCTCAGCATGCAATGCATTGCAATGAACAAGGACATTACCAGATGGTGGGCGAGGAAGGTAAATGCATTGCAATAGAAGCCATTGAAGAGGGAACATGCTCACTCACCGCAAAAACCATCATTGACTCGTGAAGAGAATAAGTAAACCGGAGTATGTCCGGCATTTGGACAGTAGAACTTCCCACCAGGACAGGCTGATGTGCCTGCAACTCATATGGCACAACACGAAGACATGAATGAACAACTTCAGAAGAAAGAAACGAAGATCAGTTGGGGGGATAAAAAACGAGGGGTAAAAGGAAGACCAGGTTCATCGGTGGCATCAGGGCAATCGCAAAAATCATCGTTGAGTTGAGCTGTGGTGAAGGTGCTGGATCCGTCTCTACATTTTATGATTTTTCCGGATGCCTTGTAGTAGCTCTCATCTGTGTTACAAAGAGAGACCATGAAGAAATTCAGTAGATAAAAAGGGAAGATGTATAGATGAGGTGAATACAATAAAAGACGGAGTAGGAATCCCAACCCTGAGGAGGGATTCCGAAGAATGGGTTCTGCGGCACGGCAGCTGATCTCCCCAAATACAGCAATCCCAACAGCAGCACAGCTGCTGCCGCTGCTGGTGTCACTGCAGATGCTGCTACTCTCATACTTCTTCCTCTTCTTCTCCGGTAGGAGGAAATCCCAGATTTGATTGGATTTTATCAGTGTGCGTGCGAGACCGTCACTAGACTGACTCACTTCCTACAGGTGTAGGTTAGCGACTACTGTCGGTCGTTATTGCAAACTTGAACTAAAAATGGCCGGACGGCCGCCAAGGATTATCTCGACCTAGAGCTCCGTCAGCTCAAAGCTCTGTTTGGTCTCTGCAAATCAGAAACTGTAGCCGCTGAACCCCGACTATGCTGCAGACTGCAGGCGCTCGCTCGCTTTCCAGTTCAAAGTGGGCACTGCTTCCATCCGACTCCCAAGCCCAACCAAACCCATTAAAAGGGCCTCTCTATGGCCCAAAACAAGGCGGTTCGCCACTCCCCTAGGTGGATTAGGGCTTAGTGTTGTAAGAGATCTTCCATGTCCCAAGAAGGATCGGAAAAAATCCCACTGTACACATGTCCTTAAAAAAATTTCTCAAAATACATAAGTTATAAAAAAATTTCTCAAAATACACATGTTTGGCATTCACCGTTTTTGACAAACGCAGTGAATATAATCACCGCCTTTGTCAAACACGGTGAATAATTCACCGTTTAAAAAAAACGGTGACGTGTTCACCGTCTTCATCTAAAATGGTGAACAACCAGCAAGGCAATCACCGTTTTAGAAGGACACGGTGAACCAGTCACCGTTTTAATTAAAAGCGGTGACATTTAAACAGCAGTGATTGGCCACGATGAAGCGAAGCGGATCGTTGATGTGGACAAACGCGGTGTATTCACCGCGTTAAACAAACACGGTGAATACCCCGTGTTTGTTTGGGTCAGCGATCCGCGTCGCTGACGCGTTCACCGTGGCTGTCGGATGCGGTGAGGCGCGGATCATGGTTTTCTTCCCAGATCCGACGCCTCACGCTAAGTCACGTCGCTCGATCCGCGCCCTTTCACCGTCCTTGAGTAACGCGGTCACTTTACCGTTTCTGAGGGAGGCGGTGAATTCTCCCCAGTTTTCTTCGGCTGATCCCTTCCGCCAACTATAAATAGACCATTCCCCCCACTTACAACTCACACACAACCATTTCACTTCTTTCTCCCTCAATTTATCCGCTCTATTCTCGTTCTAAGTATGCTCTGTGGTTGCGGCTAAGTCCGATCTTCCACATCAGAAAGAATTACTAGAGTTTGACCCTAAAGCCCCGTCCCTTACAAACCCGAACCCGTCTAACCTCTGTCCGGCTTCTGCCAAAAAATGGATGAAGAGGCTCTTCGTGTAGGGTTTTTTTTTGTGTTCTTATTTTTAATCGTAACAATTTGATTTTGTGATTATTTTTTTATCAAAACAATCTCTGATTTCATTACTTTTTTTATACATGGGTGCCGAGATATACGATCCTCGATTGTATATCTCTTATGGGCCAAGAGATATGAGACTCTTAACCGATCAAGAAGCTCATCGCTACCGTGCTATTTGGGATAACAATCCGGTAACTTTATGATTTGTTTGCTTTATTTTATTATTTTCTAAGGTTTTATTTTGCTTTATTTAAACTAACAAATTGATGTTTTTCCTATTTTTTTGAAGGAATCACTTATTCTCGTCGTTCATAAAGGGACCACAAACTTGCCCCCTTGGCATCCACGGTTGGCGCCCTATATAGAGAGGACCGGGTTGGGTATGTTGCGCCATTTCATGCAGATCGAAATCGACAACCATCTGCTTACGGCAATGGCGGAGCGATGGCGTCCCGAAACGCATACGTTCCACCTTCCGGAGGGGGAAATGACGATCACCCTCAAAGACGTGGCGATCCTCACCGGGCTGCCGATTACTGGAGATGCCATCATTGGGCCCACTACCAAACCCGAAGGAGGTTGGGTGCCGCTCATGGTTGGTAGTTGCAATGCCCCATCTGGCCCCGTTGTCCATATGGAACGTCCACATGGCCAATTCTTGCCCTTCAGCCCATACTGCTCCAGCTCGGTGAGTCTGACGGATCGCCTTCATCTTCTGCTCCTACTTTTTTGGCTGATGTGAAACCGCTGCAAGGTGAACAATATAGAAATGGTCAATACATGATAAACAACAAATTATTAAACACATAGATAACTCGCATTAAAGGACATTAGTACCTGCATGCCACAATTGATTTTTTATGTCTTTCTTCTTTCCAAATTTGTGTTGGAAGTTGGCGAGCCAGTGTCGAATACACCAGCGCCATGTCCATCCCCACTCGTTAGGAAAACCACCCACGGCATTCCTAATCCCCGCGTATCTATCGGATATAATCGTAATACCCTCCCGCTGTGTCACGTGCTCGTGTAGTTGGTCAAAGAACCATGCCCAACTTAAGTTGTTCTCCCCTTCCACTATTGCAAATGCAAGGGGGGAAATCCGCCTGTTTCCATCAACGGCAGTGGCAATGAGAAGAGTTCCTCTGTACTTCCCAGTAAGGAAGGTTCCATCAACCTAATTAAATATTAGGAAGTAATTAGTATGAAATTTACTTGGTCTGCAAGAATATAAACATTTCAAATAGTAAACACGTATTAAAATACCTGAATAACCGGTATGCAGAACCCAAACCCGTCAATGCATGGTTTGAAAGCCCAAAAAATACGGTGAAACATCAACTTCTCTTGTACTCGAACTTGATCCTCAATGTATACATTGTTGTATACTGGCACGAAAACAGTCCCAGGGTTTGACACCTCCATTGCGGCCATAAGTCTAGGGAGTAAAGCATACGAATCCTCCCAATCACCATACACCTCAGCCATGGCTTTCTGCTTTCCATGCCATGCTTTTTTGTACCTTATCGTGTAAGAATGTCGATCCTTCCCCTCGGCCATGATAGCTTTGATTTTGATATCTGGTTATGCTTCGATAAGGTGTTTAATAGTTCTCCCAATTTTCTTTGCTTTAAGTTGCCAGTGATCCTGGGAACGTATGGACGAGGAGCAAGTGTGGTTGGTCTCGGCTTTTCGAATCACCCAGGCACCCTTTATCTTCATATTTGCAGCCCGCAGTTGCCACGTACAGCCCTCTGCATCATTCTTGCATATGACATGTAATTGTTTACTGTCAGAATATTTTACCTTCCACTCGAAGTTGCGCCTCAAGGCCTCTTCGGTAAAGGCATCATGCAGAGCGTCCTTCGATGAGAACGTCATACCCACCTCCAAATCGGCCGTCGGATTATACACTGGCATAGGGACAAAGTCGGGGGCATCATTCTGACTATGTAGAAATTGAGTTGGAACCTGTGTGTAGTATGGCGTGGGTGCCTCACGAAATGTCGCCTCGTCGTCGTTATCATCAGTATCTTCCTCCTCGCTCACTGATCTCAAATCTTCCTCACTATCCTCGTCTGTTGAGTCAAATGGATAGCTCGGCCTAGAAGGATCAACATGACCACCATCACCAACATCGTCTTCTCGCTCATGTGAAGTACGCCCTGCTCGAATGGTATTCTCGATTTCAGCCCACTCAGGCCTCCAAGCAGGCCATTGGACGCCATCGGCAGGTTGATCCTGTTGCGAGTATTCTTTCGACGGCACCCATCCTGCACTACTACCTCCACCGTAGTTGATTGAACTACCACCCTCTCCATAACCTCCTGTATAACCACCTCCTTCGTAGTTGCTCGAACTACCACCCCATCCGTACCCTTCTGCAAAACCATCATCATAAGAATACTGGTGAGAATGAGTTTCACCGACCGCCTCGGTCTCAACATACACCTCTGCAAGCCGCATCCCGTTATCGCTTAGGAACTCCAACATCATTGTAACCGCGTCATCATCGTTTATGACAACTTCTTGTTACACAACCCCGCCAGCACTCATGTCTGGATACCGGTAACTATTTTTGCTAAGTCTCGTCTGTCCGCTCGTACAAACCCTGTCTGCACAAATATCACGGAGTTCTTGAAAATTGAATCACGACTCAATTTTCAGCATAGTGGATTCACCGTTCTCATAATCAATCCCTATGTCAGAGTTTTTCACCCTTCCATTCCACCGAATAATAAGCCGAAACTTCTTGAATTTACCCATATCTACAATTTACAACAAGTTAAACTATTAGTTTAAAGACAGTAAAATTAACCAAAACCATATTGTACAACTAATATTACTCCATCTCATAACTAACGTAACATAAATTCAACTAACTAACAACAGCATAAATTCAAAAATTAAGTACTACAATTGCTACGATAAGTAATTCATAATAACATAACAATATAACTACTAAAAACATCATTATGCTATAATACGAAAATTAAATCATACTATAACTACTAAAAACCCATCATTAACCTATAATACGAAAAATAAATCATACCGAAAATTCCCCGCCTGTGTATTATGCTCGGTTTTGGTTGCTGAAATTTGAAGAGGGGGGGAGTGGTTTTGTTTCTATAATTGCTGGTGGGCTGGTATTTATAGGAAAATCTGCCTAATGTTCACCGTTTTTGTCAAACACGGTGAACACCATCACCGCGTTTGTCTCAAACGGTGAACATTAGGTAGCTCATACAGGGATGGCAATAAAACCCATGGCCGCGGGTATCCGACCGCCCCCGACCCAGTCAACGCAGGGAATCCCCGCTTTGACCGGATATGGGGCGGGTATGGGTAAAACCCGCAAAAAGTTTGATGGGTATGGGGCGGGTATGGTTTTGACCTCCCCCGCCCCATACCCATACCCGTACCCGCCCCACCAAGAGAATTTCTTCACATATAAAAAAATACGTGGATTAAATTGTAATCTATCAATGGTGATAAGGATAACTCAAGGAAATAAATAGTAGAAATGCAATTGAGTGACCATTTTAATCAAAATCTAATTCATTTCCCTCAATTCTCCTTTCACTCTTTCACTTTTCCCCTTGTCTACAAGATTATGTTAGTTAATTATTACTTAGTAGATGTATAAGAGTTAGAAGATAATAATTTGTAAAATATTATACTCTATATTATGTATTAATGGATGTTTTAGGATCATATACTTTGAACCGTATTAAGAAAATGATCGTGTTTTGTTGACTTCATGATATAATAGGTTCGTTTATAGTAATAATAAAAATTTTCTTGTAAATTTTAGGTATAATAATGTTGGATGTATGGGTACGGGTATTACCCATGGATACCCCAAACCCACGGGTATGGGGATGGGTTTGCAAAACATTCCCCCGCATGGGTATGGGGCGGGTATGGGTTTGGTTATTTGAAGATGGGGATGGGGATGGTTTAGACAAACCCGCCCCAAACCCGCCCCATTGCCATCCTAGTCATACCTAATTTTCACCTAACAGGGGTTGAAAACGTGCCTAATACTCACCGTTTTAACCTAGAACGGTGAAGGTATTCACCATTTTGCCCTAAAACGGTGATATATTCACCATTTCCGAATAAAACGGTGATATCTTCACCGTTTCCGAATAAAACGGTGATATCTTCACCGTCTTCATTTAAGGAGGTGATTGGTTCACCGTTTTAATTTAAAACGGTGAATTATTCACCGTGCTTGTCAAACGCGGTGATAGTCTTCACTGTGTTTGTCAAAAACGGTGAATACCAAACATGTGTAGTTTTGGAATTTTTTTTATAACTTATGTATTTTGGGAATTTTTTTTTAAGAACATGTGTACTTTGGGATTTTTTCCAGAAGGATCTCAATTCTCAACCACAATAAGAGGCATGGATTCCAAACAAGTTCCATTGAAAGATAAAATCTCACCGCATGCCCGTGTACTCTACACGCAGACTGCTTTTACTGGTCACCGTGATCGAGATGTACTGTTATAACCCGGAATCTGTTTCTGTGTGGGATGGACTTGGTGAGGGCTCATTGGAATCGGACGGGTGTTTGGCGGGTTGGTTGAGATGGAACTGGTCGTTGGCTGTGTTGGTCTGTTGGATCGGTTGGGATCCTCGAACGCGTTGGTCACCAGAGCACTCTTTGTGACTGGAGCTTGCACAGTTGCGTGATTGGATGGATTTCAGGCGGCCGGTCTATTTTCTTGGCAGCTATGTCAGGGTCTTTGCAAGCGATCGACGGTTTTGTGGGTGGGAGACTCAGAGATGGTGGGCCATGGGGGGACTGGAAGGATTGATTGAAAGGGGTTGTGCTGCTCAGTGGCTCTACAAGTGGCTTAGGGTAAGGTCAGGGTCTTTGAGCTGTGGAGCGGTTGAGAGGTGGGAGTCGTGCCGATTTCAGAGGCTGAGAGAGAAGAGAGGTATGTCTTGATGATGTAGAATGGGCATAGAGATGTTGGAGGTGACTGCGGCTGTCATGGGAACAGGCACAAAGTGAGGTTCTGGGTGGGTTTTGGGGAGCTCGACTGAGGCTTTTGGGGTATTTCTCTCTGCG